ATACTAACTAAGGTTGTTGGAAGATTCATGTAATAGCCCTAATGTAATAATAAAAAATAAACCAGGATTATTTCATCTATAGCAGTGTCTCCCAAAGTGGGGTCCGCGGCCCCCTGGTGGGCCGCGAGGGTACTGCAGGGGGGCCGCGGGAGGTCATAAAAAATATATATATAATTATTTAATGTTAAATTTATAATGTTTTGTTTGTAATATTAAAATATTTGTGTTCATTATTTGACTTGAATAATCCACTGTAATCATTTTTGTATTACAATGTTTGTAGCAGAGGCTATTTCCCCAAAATAAAATAACCAGAAGAGCCTATTCTTAATGTTGTCTTCTTGGTTATTATTTTGGGGGGCCACGCAGACCCTTCAGATTTTTAAGGGGGCCTCGGTGTTACTGAGTTTGGGAATGGCTGATCTATAGGAACAACAAACCCAAATTCATATATACATTACCCTTATAGTACATATAGTAGAGGGAAAAGTATTCCAGCTACTGCATTTTGTTGTTCAGTACATAATACTCGCTGAATAAGACCACGTGGACATTACATCATTGTCCCTTTGCTGAATGTCAAGTGCAGTTTCCCTGGAGTCCGAATATTCTGTCTAGACTCATTGTGACTAATCATTGATCATTTGTGCAGTTACATAAAGGGCCATGCGTCTCCAAAATCTGAACTGCGACTCCAAATTTGGACTTATTCAACGTTCTAAAGAGAAAAATTTGCATTATGTATATGAAGATAGAGGAAGTCTGGGAATCTCTGCTCAGACATCTGCCACCGAGCCTAAACTAATGAGTCTCATGGATCAAGCGGAAGAAAGCAGGAGATGGAAGGACAAATTGAGGTCACAAAATAGATAAAAATTTAGGTTTAAGAAAAGTAAACAAATCAGAGTAAAACAATTGAAACCAGGTTCATCTGGTCTTCAGACGTTCAGTTCATCCAACCGCCTTTTATAACTTTGCTTTCTTTCGTCTATTATATTGATGTATGAATAACGGTCCAGATGATAAATATCCAATCACAAAATTGGTTGGAATTTCAAAATATTGCGATATTCGGCCACAACTCAATATTGTTGCAATTCTTAATATGTTGCGATTCAGTTTCTACTATATATTGCCATTGATGTCCCTCATGTTATTCAATGGAATTATAAAAAAAATAAGACAAATCATTATGGTCCGTATATTAACTGAATTGCCCGGTCAGTTTAATTGTGTGCGGAAAATATTGCAATACGGAACAGAATATTTTTTTCCCCCACCACCTATAAAATGCATGGTGGTGTTCCCCTTGGGTCGACACTTGGACCACTGAAGATCATGGTCAAACCTGTGAAAAAGGTGGCACAAATAAAAACACCAGAGCCCCTAACCAGTGCTGAAATAGTATTTTTATTAAATACTTTCAAGATCCAAGTTTTTCGAAGAATAACAAAGCTATGATGAAGACCAACTAACACTCAGACAAACACTTGATAGTCGTCAATTCATGGTTCTTGTATTTCATTGTACATTATGATCATGCAAAAAAAACTCCAGCGTCCGAGTGAAGGCAGCTGAAGGGGGAGGAGGAGAAAGCGCAGCCCAATATAGTATCATTACAACGCAGGGAAAAAATGCGAACATCGAGGGCCTCAAACCAAGCTTTTACGGCTCCGTGTTTCCAATATATATATATTTTTTGTCATTTTTGCCATTTTTTTTCAATATTTTCATGTCACATTCTGGAAGGAGGCAAGAATTTTTTCAGTGATGCAAACATAATAACACTAGCTCCGTCCATTATCAGGTAGAAATGCTTAACTCAAACATGCATATAACTAGGTTCGCCCGCCCTTCAACAGTGCAAGTCATTTTTAAACCTATTTCACCCCTCTTTTATCTCAAATGGAGCAGGCACAATACCACCACCATCGGGTAGATTACATAATAAATAATTGTAGCCCTGATCTTCATAAAATCTAAAATTTATGTTCCCTTTTTTAATCATGAAAAGTGAGAGAGTGCAGAACTCCAGCTTGGCAGAAAAGCGACAAAGACAAGGACAAAAAAGAAAAGAAAAACCAGTAACATGAAATTAACATCTTAAGAGCCAGAAGGGGGTACAATGGATGAATGGAGACAAATTACATTGCACAGGCGGGGGTGGATATGTACAAAAAGCCAAAAACACACCATTATATTGTAGCCAAAAGTGTGCCAAAATGTGCATACGATATGAAGCATCACAGCATTGTGGAGATAGTAAGGACACTATGGAGAAGGAGCGGTTTGCCAGGGCACGACTTTTGATTTGTTTAAAACAGTCTAACAGTCTTCGCAACTGGTGGAGCTGGGATCCAAAAGAATCTTGATTTTTAACAATGAAATCAATAGAATGTAGGGCAGCACAATGTATTGAAAAATTGTCATCGCAAGAGTCTTGGAGTTATGGAGCGACAATTTTCCACCAATTCAGCTTTTCTTTGTCTTGGTACCACCTTTGTAAGTTTATGTAATTTGCCAGTAAAACAATTCTTTCATATGAGCTTAAATGTATCACAAAAAACTCCATTGTCATTTTTAATGTCAAAAAGGGGTTCCCCAGGGTTCGACACTTGGACCAATGAAGTTGTCAAAACATTTTCTCATGTATAAAAGTTGCATGCATTTTCTAATACTCTGCAACTCAGTTTGAAGCATGCAAGTGAGTGGCCCATTTATGAGGTTTGCGTTAAGAGAAGATTTTTAAAATTAATTTTACAAGATTTTAACATTTGTAAAATTTCTCAAAAGCCAACCACAAAAAGATATCGGATCATAACTTGCCACCAGTTGAGAATTACCAGTCTACACCGTATAAAGGGAATACATTTGCATTTTTAGTATTTGATTGTATGAATTGTATTATTGTAAGAAATTTGGTCACTTCATACATGCGTTAAAAAAGGTACTCAATCGTTTGCCCTTTATTCTTGTCGTTGCCCAACAATACTTCACTTAAATATTCAAATTGGTAAATTGCAAAAATATTTCAAACACTAAAACCTATTTCTAGCAGCTGGTTTTTAAGAAATCGTTTGTCTTTCGGCTTTATACTTTGTCTCAATGCATTCTACGCAGACTTTGCAGCAGCTCTGCTAACACTAGGAAAAGTGCCCATTGTTTCTAACTCACTATTATATCATATATTTTCGTGAATTTGTTTGTCAATCGCACCAGCCCTTGGATGGCATTTTAAAAAGGATTTGTGACCAATATTTTAAACCAAATCGCTATCGTCTTCCGGTTAAGGTAGCGGGGTGGTTCCCATAGCCCCCAAATGCACAGGATGAATGTCTCTTATAGATACATGTACATATGTTACACCTTTCTACATATGTCTATACAAACACTGTATGTATACAGTGGTATTAACAAACCAGGCCCTTGAGAGAAAGCGTTGAAAAGCATTATGGGTAAAAACCTGGAGTTGGGAGAGGGGAATGGTGGATGTGAACGGGAGAGAGGAGAGGAGAGGACATGCAAAACGCAGACGTATCTCTCCTCTGCACTGCATACAGACAAAAACACACACGGTAGCTTCGTAATTTTTTTAACTTGCACATTATAAATTCCCTCTTTTTTTCAAAACGGGAGCCTTGAATATATATATTTATACATATATATATTTAATCAGTCAAAAACAATATTAAAATAAAATGACAAAAAAAGGCTCCGTTTATTCACAGGAACGCAGAGGGAACAGACGCTAAAAACACAACACAGACGAAAAAAAAATTTGAAAAATAAAATTAAACTCCCGCCCGATTCCTGACGACAACACTGTTCGTCCTTCAATAAACAAGCACGCAACCGAACGAACACAGAGAAAGCCTACAGTTCTACACTTTGGTGCTTTGATATCAAGTTTCTGTCGTGGATTGCGACTTGATTTGACTCCCCTCTTAAGTTTTTTATTTACGTCCATGTAAAAAAAAAGTAAATAAAATACACAAAAAACCTTCCTATAGCTTCCCTAAAATGCCAAAAATGTGTCCAAAATCTCTTGTTGCTGCCACTAACTGCAAATATCTTGTTCGTCTCCTCCCTTTTTAAGTAGATATTGGATATAAATGCTCGCTTTTTGGTGGTTTTTCGTACATCTAGGCATAATTTACACAGTTTAGTCATAACTCATTTCGTTCAACTGTTTTTAAATCCTCGTCCCCCGGATCTCGCCTGGTGCGGGAAACAAGATGGCTGCCGTTTTGGGGGGGAGGGGAGGTGGAGGAGGAGCAGAGGGAGGGGCATAGGGGCACACCTCCTCCAATCAGGCGCCAGACGCATGCATCATCATCATCATCATCATCATCATCAACCAATGGGGGCGGAGCCTTGTGTTCAGCCCGCCTCAGCAGGTCAAAGGAGGGACAGGATTGGTTGTTTTTTTGTCACGGACACTGGGGACGGCCGGAATGAGCCAGTCCCGGTTTGCAGAGGAACGTGAGCCTCCGGAAACACGCTGAAGAAAACTGCCCCCCAAAAACACACACTCCAGACAGGAGAGTGGAGGCTCGGACCACTGCGGAGAGAAGAGAGAAGGAGGGGGAGAAGAGACAAAAAGTTAGGGTTCCAGATTGATTACAGCTACAAAATGCCTGCGCAGCCGATCAATACTGTCTGAAGAGGAGAATTCTTTGTGTGCAGCCCAAAGGTATGGCTCAATTTCTGGATAAAACAGAGGTAACTGAGAGCGTAGGAGGACCAGCCCCAGCAGAAAAGACAAAATATTAACCTCATGGAACCCAGACTTAACAATATTTGAAATTTTTTATCATTGGGGATGGGTTTTAGCCTTTAGCTTTAGCCTTCCAGTCAAATCAATAAAGAAATACAAAGCCTCTTCAGTCCTCGTTCTACAGTCTGAGTCCTGGATCTACAGCTTGTCCATCTGTGGAAGTGTGTTTGCTGCTGTTGTGATACCCAAATAAATGTCATTGAAGCCTGTGCCTCTCACCTGATCACTGTAGTGGTGCGGCGGGCGCTCCTGAGCAGTGGAAGTGCACGTTGAGCCACTTGCCCTCGCGGCGGTGCCACACGCGCGTCTCCTCTGATTGGCTGGAGCGCGGGCGCCCGGTCGAGTCCACGAACTGCGTGAGGCGGATGTAAGCGATGCAGGCGGCGTCCTCTCCGATCAGGTGCACGTGGGGGTTCAGCAGCGTGGTGTGCACCGGCTTACTGTTCTTACTCAGCACTGCGGCCACAACACAACAACATTCACTACATACTGCATACTGCATACTGCATACTGTATACTACATACTGCATACTACATACTACATACTGCATACTGCATACTGCATACTGCATACTGCATACTGCATACTACATACTACATTCACTACATACTGCATACTACATACTGCATACTGCATACTACATACTACATACTGCATACTGCATACTGCATACTGCATACTGCATACTGCATACACTACATACTGCACACTACATACTGCATACTACATACTACATACTACATACTGCATACTGCATACTACATACTACATACTACATTCACTACATACTACATACTGCATACTGCATACTATATACTACATACTACATTCACTACATACTGCATACTACATACTACATACTACATTCACTACATTCTGCATGCTGCATACTACATACTACATACAACATTCACTACATACTGCATACTACATACTACATTCACTACATACTACATACTGCATACTGCATACTACATACTGCATACTGCATACTACATACTACATTCACTACATACTACATACTGCATACTGCATACTGCATACTGCATACTACATACTACATTCACTACATACTACATACTGCATACTGCATACTACATACTGCATACTGCATACTACATACTGCATACTACATACTGCATACTACATACTGCATACTACATGCTACATACTGCATACTGCATACTACATACTGCATACTGCATACTACATACTACATACAACATTCACTACATACTGCATACTGCATACTACATACTACATACTGCATACTGCATACTACATACTGCATACTACACACTGCATACTGCATACTACATACTGCATACTACATACTACATACTACATACTGCATACTGCATACTACATACTACATACTACATTCACTACATACTGCATACTACATACTGCATACTGCATACTACATACTGCATACTACATACTGCATACTGCATACTGCATACTACATACTGCATACTACATACTGCATACTGCATACTGCATACTGCATACTACATACTGCATACTGCATACTACATACTGCATACTACATACTGCATACTACATACTGCATACTACATACTGCATACTGCATACTACACACTGCATACTGCATACTACATACTACATACTACATACTGCATACTGCATACTACATACTGCATACTACATACTGCATACTACATACTGCATACTGCATACTGCATACTACATACTACATACTACATACTGCATACTGCATACTGCATACTGCATACTACATATTACATACTACATACTACATACTGCATACTACATACTACATTCTACATTTACCTTTGACACGTTTGCACACTTTTGCACAATGTCAGTGATTCTATCTATGCCAAATGTGACATGCACATTTCTCCAGTGTGAGATCAATAAAGTCTATCTTATCTTACCTAAAATACTGCATACTACATACTACATTCACTACATACTACATACTGCATACTGCATACTGCATACTACATACTACATTCACTACATACTACATACTGCATACTGCATACTACATACTGCATACTGCATACTACATACTGCATACTACATACTGCATGCTACATACTGCATACTACATGCTACATACTGCATACTGCATACTACATACTGCATACTGCATACTACATACTACATACAACATTCACTACATACTGCATACTGCATACTGCATACTACATACTACATTCACTACATACTGCATACTACATACTGCATACTGCATACTACATACTGCATACTACATACTACATACTACATACTACATACTGCATACTGCATACTACATACTACATACTACATTCACTACATACTGCATACTACATACTGCATACTGCATACTACATACTGCATACTACATACTGCATACTGCATACTGCATACTACATACTGCATACTACATACTGTATACTGCATACTGCATACTGCATACTACATACTGCATACTGCATACTACATACTGCATACTACATACTGCATACTACATACTGCATACTACATACTGCATACTGCATACTACACACTGCATACTGCATACTACATACTACATACTACATACTGCATACTGCATACTACATACTGCATACTACATACTGCATACTACATACTGCATACTGCATACTACATACTACATACTACATACTACATACTGCATACTGCATACTGCATACTGCATACTACATACTACATACTACATACTACATACTGCATACTACATACTACATTCTACATTTACCTTTGACACGTTTGCACACTTTTGCACAATGTCAGTGATTCTATCTATGCCAAATGTGACATGCACATTTCTCCAGTGTGAGATCAATAAAGTCTATCTTATCTTACCTAAAATACTACATACTACATACACTACTCTAAACACACTCTTTTTATGTTTATTCTTTGAGGCAGGAGGCTCTAAGGACAGTGATGATCCAGGATATTTAACATTTATAGACAGTGAAGATCCGCTTCCTTTGGACCAGTGGCTCATATCTTTTTGCTATTATTGCATTTCCTGTGTTGTTTGTTTTAATTCTTTGTTATTTTATTTGTGAAACTTTGTAAAGTCCTCCAATGTATATGTATACATTGGAGGACTTTACAAAGTTTCACATGTGACATATGTCGAGACTGTGCTACGGTCTCATTAGTCCAGTTCTCAGGTCTCTGCGTCCTGTGGCTCAGAGAATAGACTTTTAGGCAGATCTGTTTGTTACAAGTCTCTCCATGGCCTCGCACCAAAGTACATTTGTGATTTGAATGCCTTGTTGGCTGTTTTTATCTTCTTTTGTTCAGTGATTTTCATAGTGATACTTTCATACAAACATAAATACATCCATTCTCGCCTCTGCTGGTCCTACTACACACTCACAGTTCTCAAAGTAAAACTTGTGGAAGTCCATGCCCTCCACCAGGTTCCCCAGAGCCTCGGGTTCGAAGGAGGTGAGTCCGGGATCACAAATCCTCCTGAGGACCGAACACCGGGTTAGTCACGACACAACAGCTCAAAAGAACACACAATAAGTTTTCAAGCAACTTCAGCGCTTTAGTTTAGTGCCAGCGTTTTATTTCAGAACAACAAAAAATGTTTCAAGAGAATTTCAAGCAACTGAACGTCGTCTTCCATTCGGTCATTTCAAGTCCTCTAGAAAAACTTTTTGTTGTTCTGAAAAAAATTTGCGAATACAAGAAGTTGACTGGTTACGAGACAAATCCCACAGTCTGGTGTATTAGGCACATATACAAAAATAAATAGCGCGGTACATGCAAAAGTTTAATTTTTTATGATTTTTCTTTAGACATCATTGGTTGTTTGGGACATTTCAGTTAAATATATCATATAGGAGACAAACACAGTAATGTATAGGAAGTGAAATTAGGTTTTTATCATTCACAGGAAGTGTGCAAGAATTATTAAAACCAAATTAGGCATAAATGTAGGCACCCTATTCACTGCAGAAAGTGATGAAAAATAAGTCAAATATTTGGAAAAAAATATCTTTATTTTGAGCACATTGTGACTGACTTAAAACTTTGGGACAAAGCAAAATGATCTTGTTTTAAAAAGATTCAAGAAATGTCTCTCTTGGAATGAGTTTTTGAAATGACATTAAATGGCTTTGTCCCATTAGCAAATTTTCAGGCACAATGTACTCAAATTAAGATAAAAACAATTGATTCAAGCAATAATTATCTCATATTTTGTAATTTTTTGTAGCGTAATAAAAAAAAAAGTCAGAACATTTAATTGGAACTCAGCATAATTGGAACTAAAAAATAGCTTGTTGTCTAGTGCACACTACTGAACTCCTGCACAAGTATTCCAATGTGGTTTTACTGCAAATGACAAATAAACTGAATCTGAACGGTCCGCTAACTAAAGGTTTTGGACCCAGAGAGGCTCGACTCACGTGTAAGCCTCGAAGTCTCCGTTGTTGATGGCCTCGATCAGCTGTTCCGTTATCTTGATGATTTCCTGTTTGCGAGCTGCAACACACAACCGGGTCTGGGTCAGGGCGGAGTCGAGCCAGACGCGTACGTGACCCTGGATATGTTAGTTACACAACCACGTAAAAGATACATTTGATACAGTCGGCTTAGTGTGAGACTGAGGAAGACTTGTGGACTTCTCACACACACGTCTTTGTCCCGCCTTGATTTTAATAAAGACAGAAGCAAGAACTCTCAGAATCTCAAGTTTACTAAAAAATTAAGGCAATAAACAGTATAAAACCAGGAAGTTGGACAAAAAAAAGCAAAATATGCCTTAAAGCTGGGGAACCTTACCTTTACCAAGCATCAATCGCACCATTAAACGGTTTTTTATAGAAAACGTATATATGATGCATACTTGTAAGAGCCCTGTGAGTCACGTTTTGGGCTGAGAGCTGATTGGTTGAGTGAAGCTATAGCCCTCTCTTTGTCACTTTTCTGTTGCAAAAAGTGGATCTAAAGAGGTGACATAAGCCATAAATACATGCAAATGATAGCGATAGAACTAAACTGTTTTGAGAGCAAGGAAGTGCAAGGAAATGGATTTTATCAAATGTTAAAAGTTAGAGACCCCAGCTTTAACGCAAAGACATTCTGGGTTATAATCCAGTAGTGTTTTACATTAAAAGGCCTATAAGATCAGCTTTTATCGATATTATAGGACCTAAACCCAATCCAGGACTGTCACAAACACTGCAAAAAGTGATGAAAAAGTCAAAAATTGCTCAAATTTGTCAAGATGTATCTTGACTTGAGAGCATTTTAACCGCCTTAAAACAAGATTTGCCAATTGGACAATGAGCAAAATGATCATGCTTTAAAAAGATACCAAAAATGTCTGTCTTGGAATGAGAAAATTAAGCAACAGTTCATGAAAAAAGACTAAATGGCTTTGTCCCATCGGCAAATCTTGTTTTAACACAGTCAAAACCACTTGATTCAAGCAATTTTTACTTAATATTTTATCATTTTTTGCAGTGAATACTGGATGCCACTCTAGGCGCATCCCTTATTCTAAATGTCTACTTCTGTATCTTGTCGTCATCGTTTCTCCTTCACCCTCTCGTCTATTCCACATTTCCTTCTCAAAAGCCGCCACTCGTCTCTCACGGCTTCGTCAGCGTCAGTCTGTCAGTTCAACTCCTGCTGCTGCCAAAACTCAACGCGACAATTTTAACAAAAACAACGAGAACAAGCTGTCCGCACGCTGCTCTCTTTTTAGCGCCATCCCCACGTTTTTTAAAACATTCTCTGGCTTTTTGGAGCGACGGGAATGACAGCTTACAGACGATTCAAGGCCGAGAAAAGCAGCGCAAAAAACAGTGACACAAGCCGAAAAAGGTCGTGCTGTAGAAAAAAATCAGACGTAGTAGCTGTTTGAGGTTTTAAGGTTGCATAAAAACAAACTAGAATACTATCATTTTACCATTTTGAAAAGAACATCCAAGTCATGAACACTCAAAATTCACATGATGCTAAGACACAAGTTATTTGGTAGAATCTAGATCTGTGACATGTTAGTGCCTTATGGACCGACTCTGAGGAGCACAGGGACTGGCCTCCTGCTGGGACTTTGAGGAGCACAGGGACTGGCCCCCTGCTGGTGACTCTGAGGAGCACAGGGACTGGCCTCCTGCTGGTGACTCTGAGGAGCACAGGGACTGGCCTCCTGCTGGGACTTTGAGGAGCACAGGGACTGGCCTCCTGCTGGTGTCCAGAGTCAGGACTAAACATGAGGAGGCAGCGATTCATGCAGCTAAAATCTGGAAGTCTTCATAAAAGATCTCTTCATCTTAATCTTTCCGATGCAAAACTTTCAAACTTCCACTATTCCCAAACACAGATATTAGTGGAGTTAATGAGTTATGAACGCGGCGACAGTGCTAGCTACCGCACACAGGGGGCGACACAGCGGGGGGAGGGAGGGGGGAGCAGATGTGCTTCTTACTCGGCTTATTGTCGCACTTAGCGGGAGCTAGCGTAGCCGCGGAGCCGGGCGACTGCGCAGGCTCCGACTCGGGGCACGAGCTGTTGCCCACGCTGTTCCATGCCATGCGCTTTACGTCATGCGGTGGCACTGAAAATACAACTGATGGTGAAAACATACAGAGCGTGGATGAAGGAGGAGACTGTGGGAAGACACAGAGACACACAGCAGGATGCACCCCCCCCCCCCCCCCCCCCACCCGCACACACACACATATAAGACACGGAGGCAGTTTCACACCTGGAGCAAGACAAGTCCAAAGGGAAAGAGCTGTAAATGCTTTTATTGTTTGATTGGGGCGGATAATATTGTAGATGTGTTTTATAAATGGTTCCCGTTGCCATAGAGATATACTATCGTTTAAATAATGTCAGAATGTGCAATATAGAACCATGTGTCACTGTCACTTTACTTTCACTTTGTCCCAGTGCTGCTAACATGTACAGATGTAAACATACAACTGTATATTTATTGCACTAGAATATTCCGTATTTTACACTTACTTATTTATTAGGCTAAAGTTAAATATGTTATACCTGCTTCTTTATTATACTAAAGTTAGAGATTTTAAACTTGCTTCTATGTTATGCTAAAGTTTGAGATCTTATTTTAGTATAAAGTTATTGTTTACACTGGCATGTCTGGAAATATTTGTTATTTTAACATGTTTTGTATCTTCTTTCATTCATATAGTGCATAAGAGGCAACTATTATATAATAATAATAATATAAAAAAAAAAAAGATGGAGCCAAATCCCAGCTAATTTTCACCTAGCAATCCAAAATGAGAGCCTCTTTCTAGTCTCTGATTGGATATCTGATTATTGCATTTTCTATTAAGAAAAACTACTGTTATTCTATTCTTTTATACATCTAATCTATTTCTTTCTACAAATTAACAAAGAATTATTACGTCTCTAACTTTCAAACCACAAAAAACTGTTTGGTTCTATCACTGTCAAATCCTAATTCTACAGGTGTCTCCCTCAGCCCCGTGTTGGAGAGAGGAGGACGAGGCAGTGAACCGTGGTTGCGTGAACAGAGCCTTAATTTTCCAATCAAATGAAAGGAGTGGGAGAGTTAGAGCTTTTGGCAGAACTGGACAGACCTGAAATAATAATATTGTTCCTCAGGTGTGAAAACAACCGCCCAGAACTCACATGCAGATGAGGAGAGCAAACAGCAGCTCGGAGCCACCCGTCGAGAGGTTAGTAATGTTAATAACTGCAATTATCTTTAAAGAAGAGCCGACAGGAGAACGAGAACTTCAAGCACATGTTAAAGCTGTATTTAAGAGATGAAGCCACAAAGTTAAAGGTGAAGGCCATATAGAGCATGGGTCTCCAACCTTCACAGTCACTCCCCAAAGGATAGTAAATATGAAAATGATTACGATAGATTTGTTTATGGGTGAAAAACTACTCAGCAAAAAATGCCATATTGAGGGTCTTAAAACAAGGTTAGCCAAATGAACACGTGATACATTAGCTAAAGTATAAGTGTGCTGGAAATAAGACTAAAGCTCTTTGTTCCATGTATTTAATGTCAAACTGTTTTCAGATCAAAGATACATTACTTGCAGTGGGACTTAAAAACGACTACATTGTGTCGGCTCTTGTGTACCAGACAAGAGTAAGTTAGTGAGTGTACCGTCCAAACAGGTCGCCATGAAAACGTTGATAACTTACTATTGTCTGGTGTAGAAGAACCAACATTTCTACTAAGATGAATCTTCCTGAACCTTACAGAATGAAAGTCGTTTTTATTCATATTTGATACCAGTTTTAATCTTGTTTGATTCATATATTTGTCTGGTATACACTGGGGACTTTTGCACATGTATTCCAATGTGGTTTTACTGCAACTCGTGAATAAAGTGAATCTGATGAGTTTGAGTTATGAATGGGTTTTTGTAGCTCTTTATCAGGCAGGTCAAACTGAGGCCCATTTGTAGTGGCCCCTAACATGATATTTGACACCACTGCTCTATATGGTCTATAAATGCCAAAAGAAAACGTCTGACAATGGGAAAAAAATACGTCTCCTTAAATCTAACATTTACAGCATGAGTAACAGTGTATGAGATTTATTTGAAGCAATTGATTTATGTATTTTTGATCAACATCTAACATGAAGATGACAAAAACACGTCTAACCCAAGATCCAACGCAGACAACATTTTTTGTCACTTTCCTTCCCACTTTTTGGAACTCCATCGAGGCAAAAACCATCGTAATTATGATTATATCTGGTTTATTTCCCAGCCTTTCAAACAACGGCAAAGTAAATGCAGTGAAACAGGGAAACACAGCTGCAAGGTTCCTCCGGCTCGAGCTGTTCAAAACCGACAAAAGGAGATGCAACACACAACACACACAGACACACACACGTTTCAGGGTTCCCACAGCGGCCGTGGCATAAAAAAAACCTTCCAAAATTAGACCTAAAAACAAACACTACGGGATTATTGGGGATTTAGCTCGAGCCTTGGGCAGTGAGGTAAAGCGGCGCCGGCTCAAAGGCAAAATATGGACTGGGTTTGGAAGCGGCCGAGTAATGAAAGATTTTTTCTTTGTCAAGTTTGATGGAAAATGTATTGCTTTGTTTAGCTGTTGATCTCTGTTTAGTTATCAATCTACTGATATCTACCAATCTATATATCGGGTGTTAGGCATACTATATACTGTATATACAGGCTGCAGCTGTACCAAACTGTTGATGTGTCCTTTGGCAAGACACTTTACCCACACAAGAAGTTTGGTGTCTGAGTCTGGTGTGTGTGTGAATGGATGTAATGACGTGGTGGTGGTGGAAGGGGCCGATGGCACAGACTGGTTGCCTTGCTTCTATCAGTGTGCCCCAGGGCAGTTGTGGCTACAGCAGTAGTTAATAACCAATGTGTATGGAGTTGAATTACGATGGAGTTATTGTTGAATGAAAAAAATAGAAATCCTCGTCGAACCCAGTGGGAACCCTCATCCACGGCCTGCGGTGGAAACGTAAGGGAAGATGCAACTCGCCGTGTGACGAGAGTGAGAAGCCGAGTCGTGTTTGTGGAAAAGGGGGAGGAGGAAGAGAGGAACAAAGGGGGGAGGAGGGTGAGGAGGGTGAGGAGGGGCCCAGTTCAGGAGCAACCGTCTTAGCCTTTGCGGTTGAGGCACTTACTGGCAGGTGAGCTCTGAGGTGAGGGCAGTAGTGGGGGCATCTCCTCAGTGGCACTGCTCTGAGCCGAGCTGTCCGCTATAACAAAACAAAAACCACAGGGGGAAAAAAAGCAACACAAAAAAACAAAAAAAAACGGAAAAATACACATTCGCACGCACACACACACAAACAGAAGCAGCCATCCCACGACACGTAGACAAGAGTGAAAAGTGAGACGTGGCATCTACGGCGGGATCGCATCACGCTCGACACGACACGTCCATCAAATCATCAAATATGCAACAGAACCAGGTCAGGGACGAGGCGACAAGTGAGAAAAATGGATCAGGTACCTTTCCTACCTTTCATTTCCTCCTCGTCGTTGGTGGCATTGCTTTCTGTCGAGCCCTGAGGAGAAAACAGACGTGAGAAGTCAGAAAAAAGGAGGAAAACTGTGTAAATTGGAGTTTAGCTTGCTTCTGTATTGAGCTAAAGTTAGAATGTTTTTCTAGTCTCCTGCTGTGTGTAAACCCATAGAAAACACTGTTATTTTATAATAAGCTATTGCTAACAATTAACTATTAACAGAAAAATGTACTAAAATAATTATCTCAAAGGTACAGCAGATCTGAATGTATGCATCTGTAGGATAGCCCATAGCGACATTTGAAATTATTATTATTATTATTTTGAATTTGATTATTTCTGTGTGTTGTAATAGACATTTTAGGGATGTCTTATGAATCGTTGCACTGATTTGTAAAGTTTACCAGTTAAACTACAGGGTATAACAAGTCCTAAACTACAAAAATAGAACCTGATAAAGTGTTGGGTAAATATCTTCTCAATTACTTCATATTCTCTGAAATTGGCTTTAAACATATTTAAAATCCAAGAATACAACACGAGGCCAAGTGAGAATCCTTGGTCTGTATTGAAGGATGTCTGGTCTATTTGTGCTGATAATGTGGTCTGCTTCTTATTGACTTCTCTATAATAAAACTCTTATCGATGAACGTGATGCTATGGATGGATGTTGCACCTCACAGATGGAGTGGTGACTGTGTGGACTGTTTACTGACACACAAAACAAATCTTAAACATTGTCTCCATCTTAAAATATGTAGCCAAAACTAATTATATTTTACTTGTGTATGAAAAAACAAATTATTTTCAAACAGTCTTAAATGTCATGTTGATAACTGTGTGTATGTGTGTGTGGACTGCAAAAAATAAGTACATTCTGACGTCTTGCTTTAAGGCGGTCAGAATGTGCTCAAATTAAGATACATTTGGCCACATTTTTTGACTTCTTTTTCATGACTTTTTGCAGTGTATGTGTGTGTGTGTGTGTGTGTGCGTGTTGCTTCCTCATGTCTGTTCTCTCTGGCTGCAGCCTTTCTCTTCTATGTGGGACATTGAGTCAATAATTCAGCGGCCTGTGGCTTTAATTATGGAAAACTGAACCTAAAACCTTTACCTTGACTCCATCGGGAGGGTTGTGCACCACTGTGCTCTGCGATTCCTGGGATGAAGAGCAATGGTTAGTCTAAAAAAAACAACAGTCGGAGACGTTATAATCCGGACGAGGTGAGGCTACTTTCTATGCACGTCTCTTTCAATGCGTTAGTTGACAACACGGGGAAACAGAAAGAGAGTTTGCAGCACTACTTTCGTTTCACAGTAGGTTTTCGCATAAATACTATCAATGCTCTACCATTAAAAATCCATGTTTTAGAGTTTTTACCGTGCATACATGTTCTGCCTTCTCATTCACACACACAAGTTGCTTTTATAGTGTTGTCACGGCCATAGACTGTATATGGATGGACATTGCTCATACGCTAGCTCTATGAAGGCTAATACTTTGAGTGTTTATGATTTTAAATTCTTGATTTTAATGTTTCTTATCTTGGGTTGTTAAGCACTTTGAGTTGTTTCCTTTTTGAATCTTGCTATATAAATAAACTTTCCATGTCTTGCCTGGTAAATGCTCGTTGTCCAAATGTTGCTGCTTCTCGATTTGGCCCTATCCCTTTTTCGAAGTAACATTTTGGGCAAAAAAATCTGTGGTTTAACCCTTTTATTTTGCTTATGTTTTTGTAAATCCAGATATGGTCCTTAACAACGGACCAATCAGGAGCCGTCCATCCCCGAATTTGGCTTCAACTTGCGAGAAAACAGACCAGACCACTTCTGATTGGCTCCCCGGTTACTAGGGCATCGCTATGCATAAATTTGGCTTCCAATTCCCGCCCATGTGTTTGAGTTAGCTCCAATTGCTATGGGTGATGTCACCACTGCCTACTCTTTCTGCAGTCTTTGATCCTGGTGCTAAAATTTCAATCTCGCTTTTGATGCTAAGAATTATATACAGATTATTTTTGTAATAAAATGTGTTTGTTTTGTTTTACTCAAATAACTGTGTGTGTGTAAATGAGGAACAACAACAACAGCATGGTCCAAAAATAATTTTATATATAATTTACGGCTGCTCTGTATGTGTGCTGCAACACAGAGAGAGAGACCAAAGAAAGAGAGACGAGAGAGAGACCAGAGAGAGAGAGACTAGAGAGAGAGACCAGAGAGAGAGAGACCAGAGAGAGAGACTAGAGAGAGAGACCAGAGTGAGAGACCAGAGAAAGAGAGACCAGAGAGAGTTAGAGACCAGAGAAAGAGAGACCAGCGAGAGAGACCAGAGAGAGAAACCAGACAGAAAGACCAGAGAGAGAGAGAGATCAGAGAGCGAGACTAGAGAGAGACCAGAGAGAGAAACCAGAGAGAGAGACTAGAGAGAGAGACTAGAGAGAGAGACTAGAGAGAGAGACTAGAGAGAGAGACCAGAGAGAGAGACTAGAGAGAGAGACTAGAGAGAGAGACTAGAGAGAGAGACTAGAGAGAGAGACCAGAGAGAGAGACTAGAGAGAGAGACTAGAGAGAGAGACCAGAGAGAGAAACCAGAGAGAGAGACTAGAGAGAGAGACTAGAGAGAGAGACCAGAGAGAGAAACCAGAGAGAGAGACCAGAGAGAGAGACCAGAGAGAGAGAGACCAGAGAATGAGAATAAAGGCTCTCATATTTCTCATTCAAACGTAACGTTATAGTAACTATCTTTATGGTTTTACATTTGAACCCAATCATCCATCTGTCAAATCCATAATTATGATTTATTTCAAAAGCTATTATGGTTATTACATTCTTTTCACGTCGCAAAACAAGGAGTATCATGTTGGGAAACCGGACGCCTGAACTCGTCAGAAGTAATTTGATTGTGAAACGTTGGCGTGGCGCTGCAAACACAGGATGTAAGAGGACCGCTACGAGCCCGAGAGTGAGGCATGCTCCGAGGGCTTTTAAAACCACCACAACATGCTAGTAATGGAGCGTGTGGGGGATCGCGAGCAGGCAGATGGAAAGTGGGAGTGATGTTAGCTGGAAATAATAAAAACACAGAGAAAACAAGACAATTACTGGACTTACATCATTATCAGACAAACACACAGATTTAAGCTGTTTTTTTAAGAAAATCTGGTCGTTTCACAGACTAAACATGATGTAATCGTCTTTGTCAGTGATATATTTTTTGATGACTTACGCAGAAAGACAAAATGACTAATGTATCTGACCAAAATGACCACACTCATTTTGGTCAGGTTTGGTGGAGTATAAAAGAGTTTTGTCACATTCTTAGTGGAACGTTTATTTGAAATGTATCTTTTGCATCTGTGGAAATTTTTAAATATTTACTTAAACATTATGAAGTTTTTTTTTTTAATTTTGAAATAATATATTATTGTTACTTAAAGTTAGTTAGGATATAGTTTTCTGGTAGATTTTCTTTAACAAAATGAATTAGATAGAACCAAAACAGAACCGGAAGTAATACAAGGCTTATAATTATCGACCAACAGGCCAAGGATTAACCTTTTATTCACTGATCACGCGTTGGGTTCATATTTGATAGTAAAATAAATGATGTGGTTCTTTTCTATTCTTGAGAAAATGTGTTTTAATTTAAAAAGTAAGAAGGGTGAAATCCATGAACAAGTGGAGACAAGGTCCAGGCTTCACTTTTCCATGCAAGGGCCTCAGATTAGACCTTCAACTAACACCTTATGACAAATTCTCCAGAACAAATTACATTCTATAAAAATGGTTTAGGGATAGTTTTAACAAAATCCAATCCTTTGCTATTTTTTTTATATAGAAAAGGCTATATTAGATGTGTGCCTACTGTATATTGTGGCAAATACACTGTACATTTCTGAGCAAAATCTGCAGTAATCATAATCATTTGAGCAGTAATTTTGTCTCAGGATTCGACAAGCTGAAAAACTGGGCAGTTTTGTTTTTATTTTTTTATTGTGTTGATAGCTTAAAAAAAATGTTTTAATATTAAATGTTTGTGACACTAATGTAGTGGAGGTTACTTTAAAATGCATTCAGTCAATCTGGTTCCGTTAACAATGTCTATAATGAAACATAGGGAAACCACAAGGCTCCATACTAGGCCCTTTACTGTTCATAACAAAATTAGGTTTCATTGCCGTAACAATTTGAATGTCACACCTCAAAACACACAAAGTTATTATAGTAACATACACTGATAGCATTGGAAGCAATTTAGATCCAGTTTAACAGCATTTAGCCTCAACAGCTAGCAAACAAACATCCAAATCGGACACCACTTTTACAATGAATGGGGCAATACGGTCAACGCTACAGTTTTAGTCCAGTAACTCAAGTCTCTGTGCACAAGCTGTTGATCCCAAAGAAAGAGGTTAGTGAAAAGGACAAACAATCAAGTCAAACAAGAATGACCACAATACGCTAAAACTAAGAACTTTCTCTTTAATGGCAGTACGATGCTCATGCGTGATGCGGCGTCGACATGTGCGACCAGCGATTTTGACTTTGAGATTTGCTGTCAAACATCACTTGGTTTCGCATGTGAACGGATGGAGAGAATGAATGGAGGGGGGTTTGGCTTGTGGATATATAACTACAAGATAAAGACACAGGCAGCGACTAAACCAGGGGGGAGAAACTGGTTCCAGAAAGGGAAAGTGTGGCTGCAGATTTTCATTCCAACAAAGCAGGAGAAAGCCAGACTCCACCCATTACTTCAAGTCTTCAAGTTAAGACTGGACTCACTTGGGTTAGGGCAGGGCCGTCCAACTCATTACAATGGAGGGCCCAATGTAAATCATAAAATCTGTCTAGGGCCAAAAGGGTTATTTTGTTGTTGCAAGACTTTTTACAATTCATTGTAAAATTGTCTATTTTCTGAATACAACTGTTTAATATGCTCAGAACCAACAATCAATATTTGGCAGAAATTGTACAAAACAAACTCATTATGGTCGAGGGTCGCATATAAATAATAAAATCTGTCCGGGGGCCAAAAGTGGTTTTCTTTATGGCATATTTGTTTATAGCTTATCTTTCAAACTTGGCAATATTTTTCTTTACCTTTTATTTGTACATTATGAAAGTATTGTGCAACAAGGATTACTTTTGTTTCACATGAGTTTGGATATTTTGTTCCGGTATATTCTAATAGTGATAAGTATAACAATGAGTTCAGTTATTTTTTGGATTTACTCAAATAGGCCCTCAAGGTATCACCAACTCTACAACTAATTGTAAACTGAGGTCAAGGATTACATTTCTCTCTTCACCAATTTGTAATGATGTGTTGGAGTCAAATTTTAGAATAGATTAATTTGCATGGTTGATTTCTAGAGAACACATGCTTTATAATGAGGATTCACTTGCCAGGGCTCCTCTTACCACCAATGCTGCAAGTTTTTCTAAATAATTCACCATTCATGAACATTGGAAGTCCTCAAAGATAACTACTGTTGATTGATTTGAGAAAATGGGTGGAGTCTGGTCAGCTCCTGCTTGGTTGGAATGAAAACCCTGAAGCCACACCAACCCTTTGAGGACCAATTAACACCCCCTGGACTATACCATTATGGCTATGGGGGTAAGTTGGAGCAGAACGGAGAGTTTGGGCAGGCGGACGGAGGAGCCTTGTTACTGTACCATCTGGGCGTTGGCGGTGGTGTCTTTCAGGGCATTGATGGCGCTCACTATACTGTTCTTAGTGTTGTTGGTAGAAGGCTGAGGCAAGAAAGTTCAAAAAATGTTAAACGTAAAAAAGGCAAAAGAGGATTCTCCATCGACTGTAATGTATTCTGATTAAGTTGGCACAATTTTGGGCAAATATCCAAGTGCGGTTGTTTTTCTGACTAGCTCTGATCTGAAGTGAAATTAACTTGACCAATTAAATCCAATTGGTAAAGTTAAGTTATTTCTTGGTATTTATTACATACCATACTGTTATATTCACAGTAATATAACTATGATATGTTTTTACTGTTAAAAAGTCAAAAAATAGATAAAAGGTGCAGCTCCATCCTTTTCTGTCACCGTTGGAAAGCTTAGAATCTACTCTTTGAGAATCTGTGAATAACCCAAAATGCCTCTGGATTGACATGTGCCTTGTACTTGGGCTGCTTGTCAGTTTTACATTTCCACCCCACCACAAAACACTGCAAAAAGTTTTGAAGAATAGGTCAAAAAAATTGCTCAAAATTGGCAAAATGTGTCTAAATTTAAGCACATTTTGACTGTCTTAAAACAAGTGAGACTAAATGACTGTATCCCATTGGAAAATCTTGTTTTAAGACAGTCAGAATGTACTCAAATTAATATAAAAAACTCTTGATTCAAGCAATTTCATTTTCATCATCATTTTCTGCAGTGTAATCATATAACACAAGATCGCAAAAGTATTCTGCCTTCCTCTCCGCTTTCGCACAGCCTTCTTGCAGCCCAGACGCATTAGCCGTCAGGAAGCCAGGTCATTGTTGCCGATGCCGACGAAAGCCAGACTATAGCGTGCTAACGGGCTAAACGGTGCAGAGTGCGAGCCATAGAAAGGGCCGTAGATCTTCCCCTTTTACTGCCTGGCTAACCCTCTATGCCTCTTGCCACTTAGCAGCAACCGAGGGACCCCTGGGGCAGGCGAGATTGTGAGGGAGGAGTGCTTAATGGCCACACAGAATGACGGACACTGCTCGTAAAAAAAAAAAAAAAAAAAAAGAGAAAGAAAAAAAGTCCAGGCAAAAGGGAATGGGGTAAATATTAACAAGTGGCTTTAGTGGGAATAAAAGAAAAAAGGATTGTGCGCCATTAAAGGTTAAAATCAACACAATACAGTTTATGCCATGGTTACATCGAGGCATCGCCACGACAACCATGGATTTATTCTGCTAATTTAAAGGAAAAAAACACTCTTTTGACCAACGGCTTTGAGAGGGTAAGGGTAGGCTCTGTTCGGACTTGGCACGTTAGCATTTACAAGAGCGGATTTTGGATGCAACGCGGCCGTTACGCAACCAATTTTGTGCAAGTGTGTTGTGAAGAGAATACTGCAATACATTCTATAGGCAGCTGTTGTTGGATAGAAGTTGTTGTTGTATTTTGATAATGTTCTAGAGTTCTAGTTCAGCTATAGGGCAGGTGTCAATACAAGAAATGTTGAATAAGAAAAGTCATTATTTGATAGAGATTAGATTCACCTACCTTCCATGTTATTCTTGTCTACAGGCCAACATCATGCAAGTTATTTTTAATAGTCTCTCCACTCCTCGACATATTTATGGGATAATAATTAAGACTATAATTGATATTACTGACAAAGAAGATGTTTGTTTTGTGTAGATAAGCCCAAGGATTGCAGAGAAATTTGCAACAAAAAAACTAGCGCAAGAAATTTTGGTTTTGACGGCTACCGTGGCACACAACGTTAAACTACAGGCTTTATGGAATGCTGTGATGTCACATGAACGCAACCTATCAAGCTAACTATTGTAGGACCAAATGGTGGCGAGGCAGTTTGCATGGCTTTGAATGTCACTCAAAATAGTTATGGATCACGTCTGTGGAAATGTGAGCTCTTAAAGACCTTATGACGGGTTTGATTTATTTAGAAATACAGTTTTAATACCATTTTATATTAGAAGAGAACTACTAAAGGTTTCAAAATCAGTTGTTGTTTTTTTTGTCTGATCCCCTCAAATCGAAATAACCCCATAGCAACGCCCTTAGAAACGAAAAAACTTCACAGCCCTTGGTGACGTCAGAACGGGTACGTTTCAACGCTGTAAGTTGTTTACAATTTGGTATTCGTTCTTTTTTTGCGGATATTCAAGATGACAAGGCCGTGTACAGCGAGTCTGATATAAGTACTAGAATATAACATTTTGTTGTCACTGAGATAGTCCAGTGGTTGTGTCGATGGACTGTCAATCCAGATACTTCGGTTCAAATCCCACCTCGGACATTTTTTCACACTCAAAACGGCAATTTATGTGTAGTGAGCAATTGTCACCTGTAGAGGGCAGTATTGTGTTGGGCATCAGTGGAGAGAAGAGAGAAAAGGCAGTCCTGTGGCATAGATCCATGGTTTTCAATGCATGGGCGTAACCCGCTATGACGTCACACACAGGTTAGAGCATAGACAACTTAAATTCATGAAAAACACGTTCTTTTTATAAAATATAGGATTTTTTTTTGCCGAAATCTCTTTCAAATTGACATTGTCATGCAATTTTGATATCCACTATTTTTTTTTTTAAAACCCGTCATAAGGTCTTTAAATGCATCTTTTCTCTATGCTACATTCAAAGACCTCATTCAAAAGCGGTATTATTATTTATTTGATTGTGTTTCGTGGCTCATATCATAGTAAATAACATTGTACATTGCTCTAAAAATGACTATTTTCTGACTTAAACTCAGATGCTCAGAACATAAAATAAATATTTGGCAGAAATTGGACCAAACAAACCAAACTAAACCAACTAGCTATAGAATTTATTGTAAGAACCCTATTCATAACTCTTGCAGAAAACTGAAATAATAAATTGAGCTGAGACCAGACTGGACATGCTGCTCTGCTGATGAACTAAGTCTCATGTTCTCAGGATTAATCTAATTTAGACAATTTGGCCATGTCCCCTGTACAGGCTGTGCTTCAGCTGCAAAACAGAACAGTTCAGCAGGAGATCTTACATTTCAGCATGGGTCCGCTTGGTTCAGCCTGGTTCAGAGTGGCAAGACATTAAGACCGAAGATTGTAAGAAGTAAGTGGACAAACAGAGGCAAAGGAGTTGGTGATGCCCATTCAAAGTTGCCATTAGAAAACTTAAAGGGGACAAAAAACGCAAAATCATCTTTTGCTATCTTATACTGTTGCTGTTTATGCCTTGACATTCAATCTATGAAACTTTATTAAATATGAGCGTAGTGTACGTAAAAGCTTCGGTCTTGAAACATGGCTTGTTTTTCTATAATTATTATTATTTCTTTTCTGCAGGTGAGAAGCCACCCCTCTATGGTACTAATCACAATTATTTTGTATTTTCATTGCAAGTAACAGGAAGTCACAAACAAGGAATTTGCTTTGGATCAAGGTGCAAACCTGTTATAACATTTAGTTGTCCAATTTCTACTATATACAAGTGCACACTAAGTACACACATATTTATTCAATATTCACATTAAACATTGCAGGTTAAAGTGACAGTATAATAAGGTAATGAGAGTAAAGGAAAAAGGTCTAGTGATAAGTTATAATCACATATAGGGGTCCAGATCACTTCACCAAAATCACATTGTTTGTTCTTTGTTCCATTTCCGAGATTTACAAAAAAAAATTCAACCAGCGCATAACATTTTGAGTTGAGTCCTGGATCTATTGCCAGTCCGTTCATGGGTTCGGATCCCTTCCCGAGGTTTCTCACTTTTCTCCCACTGGGTTTTTTGTAGTTTGTTTTTTTTCAGCTGTGATGATCCAGGACCTTTGACAATCCACAACATTTGTGAACATCTATAAACATGTATGAGCATTGGTCATCCGCCCCTTATGGACCAATGGCTCTATGTGTTTTTTACATGGATCTATTATATTAACTGGATAGGGTATTACAAGCTTGTAGCTGAATAACTCATGTGCTCAGGGGATTCTCGCGGTACTGCAGACTGAACCAGACTAAATTCACGTGGGCTACCCAGAAATTTTCCCCATAGAACTCAATGCATATTAAAACAGCTCGACCTCAGCTGACAGAGAACCTACAGCTTTAATAAAGATAGTATTTTGTGGGGATTTTAGTGTCCCTTGTCATCCTGAACTTTTTTTCTTCTTAAATCCTTCGGTTTTGTTTAAATCCACACTTTAGTGCCACAAACTCTGCTCCTCTGGCTCTCGCTCTAACTCCCGCTCTGATGAACTGCTCTGATTGGTCAGAGCGCGGCCGAGCCCCTCTGTGCACGTGCGTGAGACCCGTGTGAGACCCACACACGCGTGTTTGACGCAACGCATTATGGGAGATCATCCACTGCACAGAACCGGGAGGACCAGACGATGCCCAAATACAGGCGAGTTTCCCATAGATCTTTGCGAGTTTCAGGCAACTTCCGCTAATCTTTCAGCCCCCATGCCGTCACAAAGCGCCTCTGAGCACAACCATTCATTTGAATAGGGCGCCATCTTGAATCGCCGGGGCTTGGTTTTTTATTAATGCATTTCCTGTGTTTGGACTGTTGGATTCTCGGATCTGGGTTGGCAAAACGACAGCTTAGTGAAGTCCTCCGAGATAACTACAGTTGTGATTGAGGGCAATACAAAATAAATTGAAGCCTGCTCATCAACAAACTAATTAACAGAGACAGAAACCCAGACAAAATCATGACCTCCTGATATAAAAAAGATGAAACCGATCGTATGTGGATTCTTGGAAAACTGGAACATATTTGCATTCGTTTGGACAATGGGGGGAAAGTAGCCTATAAAACGTGTCCTGATTAGATGGGAGCATATGGCCTTCCCACTTCAGGCAAATTGAACCAGACGCATTCATTTAAAAGCCAAGTCTGAACAGAGCCGGCGAGAATGTTGAAACTGTAACACCAAAAAGCGAATCCTTACCTTTGCAGAGTCGGACTTCTTGTTGAGTAAACTTTTGCATGCTGTAAAATATATGGATAGAAGAGGGTAGAGAGGGTGTAGGTTTATTAGCAGTCAGCAACATGTTTCATAATATATCCAAATATGCGTTTCAAGTTGCAGAATCAGGATGTGCACTTAATAGATTTTCCTCATTTGTGTCTACACGCTTCCAAAACCCATATAAATATTTTTTTTCTTCGTAAATGCATTCGAGGTCTTAAGGGACCAGATGTACTTCCCGTCTAGAGGACCCCACTGGATGCTTTCTAGTTGTTGGGACTCAACCCGGACTGACGCTAGGTTAATGTACACCATTGATTTTCTATATAGGATGTAGTCGCTTTAGCTTTCACTCTCAAACTGTTAAGTTGTTTTGCTTCTTCCTCTTTGCCTCGCTACCAACGCACGCCCACACAGAATCCTTTGGCGCTCTGGGGGATCTTTCTTTTTTCCTTTTTTTTCTTACCTGAAAATTAGACGAAGTACAGAGAAGGAGAAATGGGACTTGGGGATTTAGGAACAGAAGGCTTTCAAGGATTTCAATACAAAAAGGGCACAGAGTTGAAGCAGCAAAGTAAAGACCCGATCGTGATTTTGAATAGATTTTTTAACAAGCTGGTTTTGTAAATAATAACTAATCAGACGTTTGGGACATACATTTGATCATCATGTATGTGCAGAAATGTTAAAATGAAAGATATTGACCAGATTCTGTAACTTACTCATACTATATTCCGGCAAGGTTAGGGTGACCGACGACCAAATATCTGCCAGAAGTATTCATGTTTTTGAGACCTGTGTCTTATTGTCCAGATTCTGACACAACCAACAATTTTGCATAATATACTAGTGTTAAAAAGTTGACAATCTCCACCAGGGCCAGACTTAGTTACTCAAAGGCCCTGGGTACTATAGTATCTGGAGACCCTCTAATACAAAAAATTGCACAACCAGATTTTTTTTTTTTTTAATACTGACAACATTTATTAATTTGAAGTGATATATATTATTGTATAACCATTGTATAACCAAAACCCAAAAGGTGTATCTAAAATGTTGTCAGTCACTCCCCTTTCTGCTGGTGGGGTTTCTGCTGATGGCTTCCCAGAGGCTGAAAATAATGTCATTTTTTGGGACTAACTACATCTAAATCAGAATCTGAAAACAAAACAGCTCAAAACAAATCTAAACTGTGCATAATGTTTTCAAATACGAATATCTGGTCTTCATATCTTAGCATGTAGCCTTTAGCGTAGGCAATAGCAAGTCAAAATAAACAGCCAGCTTGCATTTTGAACTTGGAATTATTTGCAATGGGAGTTAAAATACAAAGTTACACATCAGTTTATCAGTTTGTTTGTTTAGTGAATCCAATTCAATAGATTTAACAAGTTTCTAATCATCCATGTTGCTAACAAACACTAAACGGGTCAATATTGCTGCTAACTCATGCGCCTTCATCATTCAAACCAATTGTGGCGATTGCTTCGATCTGACCATGCAGCATCCAAAGGAAAAGTCCAAATGAAAAGAGATGATATAATTCTATCAAATAAACAAAAAAAAATCTGTTTTTTCAAAGTGCACACATCCCGGTGTGCCAAATGTGACCAGAGACACATTCAAATGCTTTCTAATGTGGTTTAAAATGTGTTGTTATTGTATATGGGGTCATATTGTTAGTAAGTGTTAGTGTTTTATTAAGTTAAAGTGACTGGAAATGTTATGTTTTACAATTTTTTTTGTAAATAATGACGCTAACATATGATCTTGAGCATTAAATCGTTGCCAAACATTCTTGGTTTTTTTTTGCCATCTCAAAATATGTCATTTGTGTTGTATTTCAAGTTCAATCTAAGGCATATTCTCAAAAGTAAGATGAGTTTTCAACTTTGCTACAGTGGAATAAACTGCGGGTTGTATTTAAAGCATGATAATTAATTTTACAACTCCAAGAATTTGTTTACAAATTTAGAAAGCATTTGAAAGTCCTGGAACAAAACAGATGGAGCCACAAAGGACACATGCGAAAAGGCAACAAGGCATATCATTAAAACCCTCCTTTACACTTCTTTGCTCTAAAACGTTTTTGTGTTTTTACGTCTATATAAATCATGGATAAAACTGGGGTCAAGCCAAAAAACTCTGGAGAGAAGGTGCAAAGAGAAGCAGGTCACAAAAGTGCAATACACTGCCAAAAGTGACAAAAAATAAGGTGAACATCCCTTGAAGTAGAGTACCCAGAGAGTATTTTGACAGTTTTAAAAGAAGGAAAATGGAACCAGCTTCAGTCTCTTTTCAAGTATAGTAGTGCTATTGAATCATTACTATTGTGGGTTATTTCTGTCAAACTGGATCATATTTAAGCTGAGATTTTGTGTTGTAAAATGTGAAATTTGGTTGAAAGGACATAGAGGGATTTCAGTATTTACTATTTACTACTATTGGTATGGCACTAAAATCTGACTTTTCAAAAAACTTGGTAAATGGCAAATTGTAAGACTTGTAAATACTCAACACTTATGGTCAGTGTTGTGAAATGGGGTAAAAAAATTATGATTTCTTAAAGTGGTTCTTTAAAGTTGAAGTAACCAGTCAAGCATGGTCCACTGCCAACTCTTGTCCTAAAACTGTTCAATTCTACTCAAATCAACTCTATAATTCAAGCATATATTTATAATTTATCATTTTCAGCAGTGTCAAAAGTGGATGTCATCCCAGCGCTGAAAGCCAAAAAACCATGCGGGATGTTGCGTTGGGGAAAAAAAAGTTGAAAAATAAAGCATATTTTTTTGTTGTCGTTGTGATAATGATACAAACTCCACACAATATTGTAGACTTACTGGTTCAGTGTCAGTGACGGAGGCACTGCTTTACTGCAGGGCTATGGCCGATCGTCAAACCAACACATTCAACTCTCCACTCAAAAATGCACACATGCTTTCCACGATATCTACCATCCATAAACATATTTTGTGTTGTTTTGACTGAAATATGCTGGATTTTTTGTGCTTAAGAAATCAATAACTGACTTATATTGCTTATTTTGGGGTCTTACTGCAATACATCTCATGCAGGTCCAGCTTTTTTTTACATTATGTCGTTAAAAATAGTCCTCCCTTATTGTAGAATAAAGTAGTTGGAATATAATCATTTACTGGGATATATCTTCGAAGCTAAATATTGTGCTTCCAAATCGCTTACCGTGTCAGGCCTAGCCACTTCTGCTAAAAGTAAATTTGGGGTTTTCGAAGCAGGGTCGCGTTGGCTTTTTCGCGCTCCGACTGTTCAGCAGCTGGTTGTCGATGTGCGAATAGCTAAGGCTCGTCCGCTTCGAAATCTCCAAATGGTTTTCTACGAAAGGGAAGCGGCGTGGAGCAGTAGAAGATTCCCCGTTTGAAGGCAACAGAGAAGCTGGAACTGCAGGAACGCCGTGTAAAGATTGAGACATCCAAGGAGCCACCGTAGGAATCGCCGACCTTTCCCACCCACTCCCACCCAACACTGATCGTACACTTTGATATATGTTTTAAAATGCAGGCCAAGTTTATGCTAATGTCCCTATGAAGACGGTAAGGTATTGGGGTTACTTCTACAGATAAAATCACTGTAGACCTTCTTTGTTGGCACTGATTGGTTGGATTCAATGTTACCAATTTAAAGAGTAATTTTTGTTTTTGAAAAAGTTAGGTACAATTATCCCCAGTAATGGCATACGTCTTTAAGACCATAAAGACATTAATGTAAACAAAGCCAGCATGAACTTGTGTATAATAACCATTGGTGGAAAAGGACAGAGAAAAAAAAGTTGACATAAGCAGGAGTCGGTGGGAGTCGGAGAAAGTCTTGTGGTGGGCTCGAACCCACGACCTTCAGGCTCAAAGGCCAATGCTCAACCAACTGATACCCCCATTGGTGTATCTGTATACATTTTACTTTTGCTTCAATGAGTAAGTTGTTTTAAGTACTGTCTTGTCCAATCAATGATATTCCAACAATGGGTTAAATATTTGTGGTTTTTCATTAATGCATCCAAATACATACATTTCTGACATAAGAATAGCTTTCCCCTGTGCTCTTAAAAGCATCTGCTGGCCTTGTCTCAGTAGTATCTTGTTTTACACAGTTACATGCCAGCATAACCGCAGTAGAAATTGTTACAGACCGGTTTTTCAGACCACAATTGGTGAACTAGAATCAATTTGGACTAGGGTTAGTCCGGTTTTATGCTTGAATACTTATTGCTTTTTGGTTGGGATTTGGTCTCCATGAATTGGTGTACAAGCCTACTTTTGATACTGTATCTGCAATGGGGCAAATTCATACAATTCTGGTGGAGACTATGGCCCTACCCTTTAGAACAACAGTACTTTAGGTCTTGGGGGATGGAAGACGTACCTCAATACTTACAAACTTAAGTAATTTGGTTCTCATGTTGCTTAGATTCTCTGCTTCCACCACTGATCATTACACACACACACATTTAAGACTCAAAAATAAAATAAAAATCATTGTTGCACTTAGTCATGATACATTAGACACATCCATGTTTTCAGAGACTTCGAGATCGTCCCAAACCCTCCCAGGTCGGACGATGGCAGCACGCCAACCCAGCTCTTGCCGGCCCCCTGCGGATTCAGTTGTCGCCCCTGAGATACAAGCCCTCCTCTTCCCCCTGGCCCCAGAATACCCTATACCCATCCCACAGCGGGGAGAGCATAGGGCCGGTTCGGGGACAGAAAGCCTCAAGGTGATATGTGATGTATGGGCATATGCATGTAAGATTTAGGACTGCACAATATTATACGACCAAATTTTACGGTAATATCTCATAGCCGGGCGTATGAATTAACATGTTATCTGAGTTTAAAAGCCTTCTTGGCCCAGTTTCAGCACGATTCTGTGTGCTTTACTGGCATTACGAATAATTAATTTGTTGCCATAAACTTTAACGGCTTCCTACAATGTACACCTAGCTTGGACGGTCGAGTGGCGTTCAAAAGCTTGGCGAAAATGCGAGAGAGAATGACGGGTTTGCAGTAAATGTGTGGTATATTGTGCAGTCCGGTATGACTTTGAGGGAGTGGATGGAGCCGTAAATGTAAGAAGCACTTTGTAATGCATTGATTGCCGTTAAAAAGTATGAGAATGTATGGAGCGTGCGGGGTTGTTTCGCACTTTGTTTGGGCGCTCGTAAATGGAAAACTCATGCATAAACTACTATTCTGCGTCTGGGATGACAGTAAAGGCAAATAATTAGGTCCTGTTGAACTTAAAGGGGAGATGGTGTGTGTAGTGTTGGGCTGCACCTTAATGGAAAAGTTCTTTTACTGGTTCAAAAAAAGTTAAATTGATCAACAAACTAAACTAAACATGCAAACTAAAGCATTTACTAGTTCTATCGAGTTTTCTTTTTATAATGAAATATTGGCCAATCCGAATTTCTACATTGTACTCAACAACTGTATATATATTTTCATTATTATGTTGTATTTAATTATATATTACCTTTTTGTGTATATTTTTGTGACAATGGTGAAAAATTAACTTTCCGAAAAGCTTTGCAAATTCTTTAGGATTAAAAATGGAGAAAGAAGTTTTTTATTTTATTTGAAGGGCCTTGATATTCTGAGAGAAAGCAAGACATGGAGGTTGCGTTGTTCAATATTTGAGAGAAATTACCATTTGTGGGGAGGAGTTTTTGTTGCTACACTACTCAATCATTGGCCTGTATTCCAGTTGTTCTCAGTTAGAACCAGTCAGAAAAACTTTCACAGAAATTATTCATTCAGCAATTAACAACTAGTGTTGAAATCAATCAAACTGCATAGGCCTATCTTTAACTTAATTCTGTTTATAACATGTTTGTAACATTTACGGTTTCTAAGGCGATTCTAATGGGTTTCTAAAGTTTCTAAGGAGTGAATTTTGTTTTTTGCCGTTGTTAGCACTGAGTAAATGTTTAGCATTAGCATTAGCATGACATAGCATAAAGACACATGTCTACATAACTGCATAAATGCAAAATAACGGCGATGGTTGGATCTTTGACCTTCTCTAAAAGCAGTGGGCGGCCATCTTGGATTTGGGGGGGGTAAATAAAAAAATATAAAATCCAACCTCCAAGGAAAATGGAACACAAGATAAGTAGTTTTTTTCCCCTAATAGCATAGTAATTTTTGTGTTATGGCACAGCCCATGAGTGTCAATGTCGCCTGGCCATGGTTGTGTACTTGGATGATTGGAGTAATGGATGGGCGTGTCTTGGCATAGGTGTGGTCTGGCCCTGGTTGTATGATTGGATAAGTGGATGGCTGTAGATGGGCCTGTCTGGGCAGGGTGTAGTCCGGCCCTGGTTGTATGATCGGAGGAGTGGATGGGCGTGTCTCTTGGACGTACCTTCTTGAGCCAGTGAGGCGGTGGAGGAGGCGGCAGCAGCAGAGTTGGTATGCTGCCGGCCCACTATTGGACAGAAATGCTACAGTTGGGAGGGGCTATACAGATAGTTCAGGAGTACCTTGGTCATTTTGAAATTTGGTTCGCATTTTATCCGAGGGCCTGGAGAGATACAGGATGTGCTGCTGAAGCCAGAAAGCATTGCACACGTTTAGGGATAAGGAAAGACTGGGAAAACCCACTGGTGACAAAGCAAGAGAAACTGCCAAGACTCATTGTTCATCATCAAAAAACCTGTACCCATTTCTTGTAATGTTTTGTTATATACCAGTGACAATCTGTTTTAAAAGCAGCTCTGTGAGGAAGAAATCACTCTTAGCAAACCCTAACTTAATAGATATTGAGTTCATTGCTTTTGTCTTAAATATTACTAGTCCATAGCCTTTAGGAATCGATGTAGCTATATGTTTCGTACAAAAACTATTTTGGCTGATCCTTCACATCATTTTGAGCCAATTTAGCATGATTCTCAGACTATATGATAAACCAGGTTCTCTCAAGACTTTATTTGCTGAACTTGCCAAAAGTGCTGCAGATGACCTGCACAATTTGCAATAATTCCTGGAATTTGCATGTTTTTTGACACATTTCCAAGCTCCATTAGACTGAACCCAGAGCCAAAAGAACTGTGTCAACTCTTAGCAATCATATTATGTCTCAGAACGTATTGGAAACAGCCCAATCAGTTCATAAAGAAAATTGGGATGTACGTCACCATTGCTGCATTTATGTGAGTAAAAATATCTATGAGTATGGGATTGCTTCCTTTTCATAATATCTTGAACTGTGGATGGATAACACTATAATTTCTCGTTTGTGTGATAAATATTGGTTTTCTCATTGCTTTTTTCCATTCATTCCAACACCTATCAAGTTAATAAGACATGTGTTGGTTCTGGCCATTTGAAAATGACTTCTAAAACATACTATTCAATATGCAATTTCAGTGTCTTTGCTTTATCACCAGCGATGGACCGTGAATTCAGCAGAGGGTGTAAGATTTGCGTTCCCCATTCCAGCGCGATGCAGACGAGCTAAAGCCAACAACGCACCCCCGTGGCTCTCCAGGCCCGAGGTAAAAAAAATATTCTCCATCGACCCACCAATTACTTTCTTTCAGAGGCTGAGAACAAGGCTTCAGTGATTGCAACGCACTCTGAGCAACTTAAACAAAAAGTAAAACCACACATACGCACACACACACACACACACACACACGTACATACATACAAAACCTCACGTGAAACCAAAATACATTTCAAAAATCCCAAGAAATCATAATGTTTTAAGCTCCACTCTCTCGCTCATGCAAAATCCGGGGCAGCGTCATCCGTCCAGACAAACAAGAGGAAGAGACACGTTAGACATAGACGCACAAGGACACGGTTTAAACTTGTACAAAAATTGAGACAAAATGCAACACATATTAGTCAACATTAGCTTGTCATTGTTAGCCGGTCAACGTTAGCGTGTTTGACCTGAATTAGTGCCTGTTCAATGCTTTCTAACCATCTGCATGCATGTGTAGTAAACAAAACTGTCAATATACCTTGTTTTGACCTTGATAATAAATTGGAATACCTTCATATACATTATATACATTATAAACTTGCTTTAGACATGATTGAAATAACTAGTTCTCTATCTGTCATGATTTTAAGATTGAAAAAACTCTGCCATAAATTCCAATGTATCAATTTGCATACACATGATCTGTGCTCTTATAAATTAGCCAATAGCTGCTTGAAATAAACAGTATTAATTCAACTGTTTTACATTTTGACTGGCTTAACATAAGGTTTACCGATGGAACATGCAAGTTTAATGTTATTACAAGTATATAAAGCATCAACAAATGTCAGAAATCGCATGTTTAGATATTTGGGACAATTAAAGCTTGTGTTTGTGAAGCCAGTCAAATACATATGTACTTAGTTACCAGGCATGTCCAAACTATGGCCCAAAACAGTACTTTTGGTTATAGATTTCCACAGTCTATAGACTGTGGATAGACTGTGTGTGTGCCTTGTAATTGTTTTTGAAATGCGTGTTCTACAATGTCCTACTCTTAACTGTTTTTGTTTACTATAGAGCTGTGTGAGTGTCTGTGCGTCTGTTGTCGCTTGTTTGTTTTTTTGTTTCATCCTGTCTTTTTTATTTTTTATTTTACTTTATTATTATTTTTTGGTTCTGAGCATGTACTGCTGTTTTCTGTCTTGTGTTTTTGCTTCTTGTAATTCTTTTGAGGACCCCTTGTAAACGAGATGATGCATCTCAAGGGGTTTATCCTCTCAAATGAGTAAATAAATAAAACCTATATCAAGGTTTAGTGGCTCATATTGTTATGTTTTGTAAAGATAATAAAAAGGGAGAGAATACGTCATCCTTTTTGGAAGAGACATAATTGTAGTTGGTCATTGTTGTTTAGTGTGTGTCTGTGTGTGTGTGTTTGTGCTATATTCGGAATATTCACAATAACTTCATAATTCAGTTGGACACTTATGGCTTATTTCAAGACACTATTCACTTTTTTGCAGCACTAGCCGAGTGTTAGCATGTAGCATTTGCGTAGCATTGCCGGTAACTCCAATAAAATACCACAGATGCTAATTGGTCACTCATTTCCAAAGGTTGCCTATGCTAGCGCTAGCACAGAGCTCGTATCGCCATAGTGACGGCCCCACAATGGCTCCTCTAGCTGCTACACATACTACTGCATTGATACGTATTAGTCCACACACAGGTGAATGGGATTAATTATAAAACTTTTAATCAATTGAAGGCTTGGAAAGAGATTAGTGTTAGGCACCAGAAAGCCAAAGTAGCACAAAAGATACTTGCACCACATGTTGAGAACCACTTGTCTAGAACATAAAGCAAGGCACTCAATACAACACCATTTTCCAGCATTGGATTTCACAGCTTGATAATGTCCATAGGCCTGTCACAATAACTACAGAATAGACTAGAATAACCCTGAAATTAATAAATAATAATAAAATAATAATACATACTCGGCAAGTTCCTAACCATAGTGATAGATATTTTTGTTTAAATCACACAAACAACAATAGAAAGAGTAAAGAAGGTTTTTCTCGGATTGCCCAGTTTGGGAATTGAACAAGAAAATATGTTTAAACTCACTTCATGGCGACACTATTCTAACTATTGTAATCATTATGTCTGTCTTAAAGCTGGGGTACCTAACTTTTGTCTATTACATCTAGTTTCTTCTGCTTCATCTGTTGCCGGATTGCGGGGGTCAGAAGTCTAAGCAGAGACTTCCCTCTCCACCCAAGCCTCCTCCAGCTCCATCTGGGGGAATCCTGAGACATTCCCTGACCAGTCCTGGGTCTTCCCCTGGGTCTCACTTTGGTCTCTAAATAATACTAAATAAGACCACACTCCCTAACTCTATGCTGTTATCGGCTGCATAGTTGTAAGAAAGAGCCTTATGAGTTGCCATTTGACTTTTTGGGCTGATTGAATGAGGGTGGACCTCTCTTTTTTCACTTTTCTGTCTGAAAAAGCGGATCCAATGCTGTGAAAGAAATACATGCATGTGAAAACTAGAGATGGAACCAAACTGTTTTGAGAAAGGTACCTCAGCTTTAATATCTCCCCTATTTTTTATATATATATATATGTTACACAGGAGATTGTACAGTACATTCCTTCCAAGAGCTTACTCACACGATCTCAAATGAGTAGTTTTGCCAACAGAATAATTAGTATCTGACTCTTACTGTGACAGGCCTATGTTATGTAGCAGCAGTAGTATACACACACACACACACACACACACACACACATGGACATTGAGGTATTTATACTGTTGTGAGTGGGTGAATTGTGCGTTTTTGTGTGTCGGAGGGGGTTTGGGTGAAGGACTATCCGCTCTCCTTCCTCCTTTGCTGCGTTGGAGGCTCGGGGCCAAGGGCACACCCACCTGAGAAGTTTCTGGACACAAGCATGGTGGTGAGGATGGCTCCCTGGAGAGGCGAGAGGCGGGGGTTAGCAGAGTGTTGCAACAATACGCCACTTTCATAAGAACGGAGAGAGCGAGAGCGATGCATTGTGTGTGTTCGGTTTGGTCTTTGAACGCCATCTTGAGAATAATGACCGTGGCGTTTTGTGTTTTAGAATGTGGATTAATGTGGGAGAGAGACAGGAGAGAGAGAGAGATAAGAGAGAGAGACCAGAGAGAAAGAGACGATAGGGAGAGACTGGAGTGAAAGAGAGCAGAGAAAGAGAGCAGAGAGAGACAAGAGATGAGACTAGAGAGAGACCAGAGGAAGAGAGACGATAGGGAGAGAATGGAGAGAGACAAGAGATGAGACTGGAGAGAGAGAGCAGAGAGAAAAAGAGAGAGACCGGAAAAAGAGACCAGAGAGAGACCAGAGGAAGGGAGACGATAGGGAGAGCATGGAGAGAGAGACCAGAGAGAGCCCAGAAACAGAGACCGGTCTCTATCTCTACCAGAGAGAGATCAGAGGGAGAGATCAGAGAAAGAGAGAGAGAGACGACAGAGGGAGATTACAGAGATCAGAAAGAGAGAGAGACCAGAAAGAGAGAGAAACCAGAGAGAGGGACCAGCGAGACAGCAAAGAGAGACCAGAGATTGACATCAGAGAAAGAGACCAGAGAGAGATCTGGAAGAGAGACTAGAGAGAGACCAGAGAAAGAGAACGGAGATCAGACAGGATACATAACCTTATCCCTGACCTCTCTGTATTTAATCATATACTGTATGTTCATTGACCATAAAGGTAATACTTTGATATAAACAAACTTTGATCCAGAAGACAAAATTCTTACTCTTTCACTTCACAATAAGACTGAGCAGTGATTTATGAAACCGTAACTCGCTCCAATCCAGACTGACTTCTCCAATATAACTTATCTCACCGCTGAAGTGGTCATAATTCCATAATATTATCACAGACTGGACAAAGTAGTCGTTTGAATGCGGGTGGTTGCTCTCGCTCACTCTAAAAACTCAAAAGGGAAAAAACTGTCCGGGCTGCACACCGACATTCACAGACAGAGCAGAGGAAGCCGATGATGAATAATAGAGGGGTACCTTGAGTTTTCGGCGAGCGTTGAACTTGCGGAGACACTCCACGGTCTCCTGTCTGTGCATCATGGACGCCACTGTGGACCGGTGCTGAGGAGGGACAATTTAAGTTAATACCACACTTTACATCGAGGGCTTTAAAACTCACTGAGCAGTTATCAGGTCTGAGCTGGACATGGAAAAACATTATGAAAGATGCTGTGGGCTCTTTAAAAATGGATGAAAACAAACTAGCAAGAGGCTGTGTCCAGGTCTCTGTAAAAAAGTCTCTGTATTTGTGTGAAGTAGGATTTGGATTTTTGGTTTGTCTATAGTTTTGGTCAGTAAAGTTTGAAGAGATCTGGAACAATAATGTGGTCTATGGGGATGGGGAAATGTTTGCTAGCAGTATGTTATGTATGCTATAGCTGTTTAATGTTTAATGTTTAAATATTTTCTGTCTGTGGCGGTGGATCGCTCTGTCCCTGAGGTCTCTCACTTTTTTACCCCAAGAAGAGAAAATTACAATAAAAGAAAATAAAAAAAATTGTGATAAAGTAAATAAAATAAATAGAACTAAAAATATTAAACATAAGAATACATACATAAATTAAAATATATTTTAAAAAAACACTATATAAAAATATTGTACATGTATGTTTGCTTGTATCATGTATATTATGTAAATACTGGTTCCAGTTTCTAAGCTTTAAATGAGATACAAAATATGAAATACATTTTATAAGATTAGGAATAAAATAAATGAAAACATATAATAAAATAAATAAACTCAATACTTTAAAAAAAAAAACTAAATTAATTTTCCCTAAAGTCAGTAATTTCTCCCTAAAACATCCATCCATCCATTTTTCCATCCATCCATCCATCCAACACAATAATTGTCCATAGAGTCACAGGCTCAGACTTTCATATGTCAAAGTGTGATATTATTCATGAATGCAACCAATCCATCTGTCCGCCTGAAGTCCAGGCAGAATAACCAAGGGTGAGGCAGAAGGGGAGGCGGGGGGGAGGCAGATGAGAAGGCAGGGGGTGAGGCAGAGGGTGAGGCAGAGGAGGAGGTAGAGGGTGAGGCAGAGGGTGAGGCAGAGGGGGAGACAGAAGGGAAGGTATTGGGTTAGGCAGAAGGAGAGGCAGAGGGGGAGGCAGAGAGTGAGGCAGGGGGTGAGGTAGAAGGGGACACTTACGCAGACCCATGGGTGCTTCAGAGCCTGCTCCGCTGTGATTCTCTTGGCCGGGTTTATGGTCAGCATCTGGTTGATCAGGTTCTTGGCCTCGGGAGTCACCGTGTCCCATTCTGGTGACGGGAACTTTAAAAACAGGAGGAAGCGATAATGAGAGAGAGGCAGTCTTTGATGGCGGGAAGATAAAGCTGGGGTACGTAACTTTCAAAGCACAAAACATTGGACTAGGAAAAGATCCATCTAACTCTAGTTCCATTGATATAAGAGAAACAGACAGTGATATTGTGGGAAGAAATCAGAAAACTAGAAACAAATTAGAAAACTTTTGTGTGAGAAAAATTCCTGTTAGTCACTATTGGACTCGTTGGGCTGCGAGCTGATTGGCTGAGTGAGGGTGGTCATCTCATGGTCACTTATGTGTCTAAACGAGCAGATCTAAAGACGTGACTGAGGCTATTATACATGCGAGTGGAAACTTGTTCATCTCTTTCAAAACAGCTTGACTCTAGTCTAGGCACTATAGACACGTGTTTGATATCAATAGAAAATGGGGTCGATAGAATGCTCGATCGTTTAACTTCACTCCCTTGAAGTGAAGCTTGGAGCGCGTGGCACGTAGGAAGAAGCTTTTTGACCTATCACGGGCAAGCATGAACCGCAAGGCATTCTGGGAAATACAAAAATACAAAAAATAAAAATAAAAAAACAAACAACAACCTGACCATGCGTTGCGACTATGGATCTATAGATTGCATCGTGTTTCAGCCGTGTCCATGGTGACGCACGTGTGAGGAATAGCATGTGCGGCGCGGCAGAGGCAGTGGGCGGCGACTCGGCGAAAGCAAGAGATGAACTTTTTCCTCTGGAAGCACGTGCGGCGATCGAAGAGCCGCCAATGTGGTCACAGGGACACAAGCCCGCAGCCAGAGTAAGAACACTGACACTCAAAAACGACCAAAATAGGAGCTAAACCAGGATTAAACCAGGATTAAACCAGGATTAAACCAGGACTAAACCAGGGCTAAACCAGGATTAAACCAGGACTAAACCGGGATAAAACCAGGACTGATAAAGGGGGACACTGTGAACATGTGCCTCCAGCCTGAGTTCTCATTCCCCGTGACTGTAAAAACAAGTGCTACTAACATGTTAGCCAACATGTTAGTACGACAAATGTATTTATTTAGGTTTAAAAAAACAATTAACAATAATTATTCATATTGACCGATATAAATCACTTTTTTCAGCTATATCGCCCAGCCCTATAGCAGTCGGGAAGATAATGTTTTATTTTCTGCTGTTTCTATAAAGCGATTTACTTCATGCTCTCAATAGGTTAAATTCGAATCCTCATAAAAGCTCGGGTACCTACATTTGAAACCACAAACAGGGTAACTCCAACGTAAACCATTGCTACTGCTGATTGTGTTTCTATCTTGCTTTGCTGATCACATTGAGTTGCCTTGTGTAGGTTAATAACTGCGCTACACAAAAAAACTCGCTGATGCTTTGGCACAAATTAGCCACATGTTTTAAACTTCATCCACAGACTGAGAACCGAAAAAAACCACCAGCTTCGCCCTTGGTTTGCCATCGCCCCACAGAAGCAGACAGCAGCAGCCATTATGTGTGTGGAGGTAGGAGTTAATTATAAATGAAGCCCAAACAGAGCGGCTTGGAGCTGTCTTGCTTCTTTTTTTTTTTTCTCGCTGTTGGGACAGAGCGGAGTTGATTACGGAGAGATTGAGGCCGGACCCGACCCCTCTATCTCGCATCTCGCATCCCGCGCACAGACTCAGCCCTCTGCAATGCGTCAGCGAGAGTCTGATAGGATCAATAGCTTTAGACCAATTGGACTCTATTAAACATTCAAAAAGTGCTTAGCAAACCCCTGCACTGCACTGCACCCCGGCAAATATACACCCACCGCAGAGGAGGGGGGGAGATGGGGGAGGGAGGGAGGAAGGGGGGAGACAAGGGACTGACTGGAGGATAAAGAGAATTCAGACGGAAAAATTGAGGAAAGATGAAAAGTGTAGGTAGATATTATTATCATTTTTTTCGTCCCACAGTCGGGAAATTTCAGTATGAATGAGGAGCACACAACAAAAGATAAATAAACAATAACCCTACCTAAATAAAAATACAATTTCTAACTTTAGCATAATAAAGAAGGCTGGATATCAAAGACACATTCCTATTTGGGTCTAAAGGAAAAGGAAGTTGTAAAAGCAAGAAACAATCATTCTGTGCTGACTTTTATTACCTTGCATTTTAAAAAGATATCATTATACCTTTTGTGCCATATTTAAAGCTGCGGTACCCAACTTTCAAACAACAAAACAGGAACGAGTCACTAGTTCATATTAACGGCTACGAGCGCGAGGTCTGTACAAAGAAATATCAGACCTCTGCCTTTTTTTGCAAAAAGACCAAGGTCTGATATTTCTCTGTACAGACCGCGCAAGCGAGGTTAATAAATGTTTTATTATATGACTATTTTTAATTTATGCAAATATCGATCGGTTTCAACTAGCAAAAACACAAATCATGACATGGAGAACTTAACAGATGATTGAGGTCGCCCCCTGGTAAGTTCTCCATCTCTTCTGTGTCTTTACCAATGCTTTTTAGATGTTTGTGAAGTACTGTATGTTCATGTCCGACTTGGTTTTCCTAATTGTGGCTTTAGCTTTCTGGTCTGTAACAAAGTTGTCTATCTCTTCCTGACTGTTAGGAGTTGTGTTTTCGTCGTTATTTTTGCTGTTATTACTTCCTCTGGCTCAATGAACTCGTCCGGATGATAGAATTTACTAGAGAATACTTCCATTCTTTTTTTTACCGAGGAAAGATATCAAATCTGATAGGCGCTGCGGACCAATTGTCATGGTAACGGTCCGTGATGGGAAAATATCAGACTGCAAATCAGCCAATCAGAGCGCGCGTACAATCCAAGTCATATAATAACATTCATTTTTTCCCCTAGTTTTTTTTGTCTGGTATTATACAATATTGTGTGTTTTTATTTCTGGTCCAGTCCCGACTGTAAAACGGGGGGACTGCCTCTACAGTCGCGTAGTGGCGTTGAACATGTGGCTCCAGTCTGCATGTAGCTCGTTTAACTTTATTTTTGTGAATAACTTTGGCCTTTTCTGGAAGCGTCACGTGGCTTATCGTCCAGACGGTCTGCACCCAAATAGATATGGCACCAGCTTGTTGACGGATTACTTACGCCACGGTATTCAGTGTTCCCCGAGGGGGGCGTGACTGTTTACATCGGAGCCCCCACCACCACCACCCTCCTCCTTCTTCTCCTGCTCACCAGCACCGGGTGAGTACTGTGGTGCAAACACTGACCCCTTTCCGTCTGGCAGTGAAATAACAGTCTCGCCTCTGAACCGTGCTCCCTCCTGCTCTAAACAACGAAGCAATGCCGTCCTGAATCCGGGACTTACACAGCAAAAGAGTTCACATGTTAGACAAATAGAAACTGTGTGTGTTCCTCGCATCAGTTTCAAAAAATGTTTTTATTTGAATGGAAAACAAAATCATAACAGAAGGACAGCAGTTAGACATTCAAATCTAATTCCTGCTCCTTGTAAAAATCAATTAACTAAACCCACTGTTACTGATATTAATTTTAAAATTGCTATGCTTAATGTCAGATCACTGTGCAACAAATCATTTTTAATTAATAATTTTATCCGTTCTTATGATCTTGATTTTATGTTTCTGACTGAAACTTGGCTTGACCAGTGTACAGGTAATGCGGTTTTAATAGAAGCAACGCCACCAAACTTCAAATTTGAATCTGAAATACGAGAAAATAAAAGGGGGGGAGGCATTGCTGCATTATTTAGAGATCATATTATCTCTCATAGAATTCTCCTTGGAAATTTTCTATCATTTGAGTATATTTCTTTTAAAATAGAACAAAAACAATCTCCTTCTATTCTTATCATTGTCCTGTACAAGCCACCGCAGTCTTGTCACAATTTCTTTGATAATTTCACTTAGTTGCTTTCAGTTGTTTGCACCGATTTTGATAGTTTAGTGATTACAGGTGATTTTAATATTCATGTGGATAATGGCAATGACAAAAATGCAAAAGAGCCGAGTTCTGTACTTGAAACATTTGGTCTCACTCAGCACGTGAGTGGCCCCACCCACAGCAAAGGGCACACTCTAGACCTGCTGGTTACAAAGGGGGTTAATATTTTAAATGTAAATGTGGTTGACGTGGCTCTGTCAGATCACTTCTGTGTATTTTCTGACATGTGTTTTGATAGTAAACAACCATATATATCTGAATCTGCAATTGTCAGACACAGACACATAAATGAAAACACAACCGAACTATTCATGGGAATGATAAACTTTGAGAACACATTGTGTTCTACTGTTGACGAATTGTTTAACTCTGTCACCGCCAATGTTATAAATGTTCTGGACATCATCGCTCCTGTGAAGGTTAAAATGATTACAAATAAGCCAAAGGCCCCCTGGACTAAAATGGACTCAGTCATGGTACAGAAGAGAGAGTGCCGTAGGGCCGAGCGGAAGTGGCGAAAATCCAATCTCCAGGTTGATCATGAGATCTTCAAAAATGAGTTGTGCAAGTTTAACAGGGTGCTACGTAGAACAAGAGAAATTTATTTTTCTAAAACCATTGATGGCTGCAATAATAATCTACGACTTATGTTTTCAACAGTTAACGGATTAACAAACCCCCCTGTTCAGCTGCCATTCAAATTTGCTTCAGAATCTAAATGTAATGAGTTTGCACAATTTTTCAATGACAAGGTTCAGAGCATCAAAAACGCCATCACCTCCAAGGCAGAAATAACATTACAACAGCCGGTGAGGCTGTTTGAGCTATCGCACTTTGCACCAACAGATAATGAAACTGTCCAAGATGTTGTCTCTAGCCTTAGTTCCTCCACCTGTAGCCTGGATGTACTACCCACTAAATTTTTTAAGTCTGTTTTGAGCAGTCTTTTACCTTTGCTCACACAAATAGTGAACATGTCTCTCTCATCTGGAACATTTCCAATGGCCCTGAAAACGGCAGTCATCAGACCCCTCCTAAAAAAGAGGAGTCTAGATGCCACAGTTCTTAAGAATTATCGCCCCATTTCAAATCTGCCGTTTATGGGAAAAATTCTGGAAAAGGTTGCTTACCAACAACTTACAGAATTCTTAGTAACTAATAGTTCCTTTGATGCGCTCCAGTCCGGCTTTAGAGCCAATCACAGCACTGAGACTGCACTAGTGAAGGTTACAAATGACATCCGACTTAACACCGACACAGGAAAAGTCACAGTTTTAGTAATGTTGGATCTGAGTGCTGCGTTCGACACAGTCGACCACGAGATCCTCATGCAGAGACTAGAGCACTGGGTGGGTGTCACTGGGACTGCCCTAAGTTGGTTTAGGTCTTACCTAGAAGACAGGAAATACTTGGTTCAGATAGGAAACTGTGTCTCAGATCATATGGCTCTGACCTGCGGAGTGCCACAGGGATCAATTCTGGGGCCTCTTCTGTTCAATATTTACATGCTGCCATTAGGTCAGTTAATACGCTCCAACAATGTATCCTACCACAATTACGCTGATGACACTCAAATTTATGTCTCACTTACTGCAGGAGAACATGGACCAGTGGAATCACTCCTTCACTGTACTCAACAGATTAGTGATTGGATGCAAAATAACTTCCTTCAGCTAAACGCAGACAAAACAGAATTGATTGTCTTTGGTCCTCAGAAACAAAGAGAGCGTTATTCGTCACCTCCAGTCTCTCTCCCTGGAACCTGTAGGCAAGGTCAGAAACCTAGGAGTTATAATGGACTCAGACTTAAATTTTAACAGTCGTATCAAATCAGTAACATCAGCAGCATTTTACCATCTGAAAAACATTGCCAAAATTAGAAACATAGTGTCTAAATCAGATCTGGAGATTCTCATCCATGCATTTGTCTCCAGTAGGTTAGACCAGTGTTTTTCAACCTTTTTTGAGCCAAGGCACACTTTTTTCACTGAAAAAATCTTGCGGCACACCTCCAGGAGAAAATGTAAAAATGTATACAGTACTAATGTAAAAAAATATATACTGTACATACTCTGTGTGATATATAAAGTATATCTTATCTTATAATGTATACAGTATACTCTGTAGCCTATATTCACAATATACAGTTATTCTCATCAAAATGCTTAAGTCCAGGCCTTGAAATTAAGCTTTATTTAATATTTCTCGATACAATTAACAAGAGTTTGGGAATAAAGTGGCACTAACTGTGTGGAAAAAAACTAAGAAAATCCACTCTCTGCCCAAATAGTCAAATAATAACTCACACAAAGAACATGCATTGTTAGTGCATGGGAAACATTTTGGTATCCGAGCTTTAAATTCAGGAGTTTTGGATGAGGGACACGGGAGGTCCTGAACGCGAGTCCATGGTTCTGTCCGGTCCGCATGTCTGTGGTTCTGTCCACTCGACTACGGTCTGCGCTCGGTACCCAGTTCAGAAGTGCGTTCGCGAGAGCTGTTGTACAAAAATCGTACATTTCATAGTTAAACCACTACAACGCGGCCACAGCTGCCCCGGGGCAGAGCGGAGGATGTTAATCCTGTTCAGAAACGGCATAATTCATTTTCAAAAACGTCTCTATCACTTTCACTTCTCACTCGCCACAAAGCTCTTGTCTCGCTCCCTCACACATTTGTTGGTCGCATCCAATTTTACCTTTCTCGCCACAATGCTGACCTGTTACAGCCAGTGGTCGCATCCAATTTTTCAGTTTCAAAGTACTTAGCTATCTGCTGCCATCTACTGATTTGAAAAAGTATTACATGGTTACTCACAGTTCAAAACAAGTCACCGCTCGTCAACAGCGAATGCAGCTATTTTTAGACAAAGTAGACGAATTTCTCACGGCACACCAGACAATATCATACGGCACACTAGTGTGCCGCGGCACAGTGGTTGAAAAACACTGGGTTAGACTACTGCAATGGCCTGCTCACAGGTCTCTCCAAACAGGCTGTAAAACAACTGCAGTATGTCCAAAATGCTGCAGCTCGAGTCCTGACCAGGACCAGGAAATATGACCACATTAGTCCAGTTCTCAGGTCTCTGCACTGGCTTCCTGTGGCTCAAAGAATAGACTTCAAAGCAGCACTGCTTGTGTACAAGTCTCTCCATGGCCTCGCACCAGGGTACTTAAGCGACTTGTTAGTCCCATATGAACCGGCCCGGACTCTGAGGAGCACAGGAGGTAGCCTCTTACTGGTTCCAAGAGTCAGAACTAAACATGGGGAGGCAGCGTTTGAGATTTATGGAGCTAAAATCTGGAACAATCTTCCTGAAGATGTGAGGCTAGCACCTACTCTGGCAATTTTTAAATCAGGGCTAAAAACTGTTCTTTTTAGCTGTGCATACGGCTGAAGGATTTTATTGATACATACTTTTTTTTTTTAATGCATTGTGGTTATTTATTATTTTAATCCCGTGTGTGCTTTTAATATTTTAAGGTTTTTTTTTTTTTTTTTTTTTTTTTTCATTACTTGTGATTTTATTCTGTTTTTAATGTATTTATTGATGTCTCTGATTTGTCTGATATTATGTGGGTTGTGAGGCGCTTTGAGTGGCCTTGTGTTGGAAAGGCGCCATACAAATAAAGTTTGATTGAATATAGAACCACATGTGTCACTTTACTCTGTCACTTTGTCCTATGTCCTCAGGCTTCTTTATTATGCTAAAGCTAAAGAGTTTATACTTCCTTCTTTATTATGCTAAAGCTAGTTTCCACTTTCTTCTTTATTACGCTACAGCTATAGATTCTATACTTGCTTTTTTATTATGATATAGTTAGAGATATTATTTTATTTTAGTATGGAGTTATTGTTCATTTATCTTGTGCTTGTGTGCTCCTCATTCCAACTGTTCTGTAACTGGTGATGCAACACTGAAATTCCCCCCACTCCCCCAATAAAACTTAATCTTTAATCTTTAATCTTAATAACTTAGAGCTCCCTGGAGCGAGGGAGGAGGACGAAGAGAGAGAAGAGCCGGAGAGAGCGATAAAGTCGACAGCGAGACTCACGTCGTACGCTCCGGCCTTGATCTGCTGATACAGTTTGTGCTGATCCTCGTCCCAGAACGGAGGGTACCCAACTAACAGGATGTACAGGATGACGCCTAATATGGGCAGAGAGAGAGAGAAAAGAACTTTATTTGAAGAGATAACGACATGGCGTGAATGTGGTGTCACACAGTTCTGAGATATGCTCGAATCGTTAAACAGATCTGGCTGTGGTCGTTTTCTTTCTTTTTTTACACTTTATATTTGAGATTTTGTCTTTTAGAGTCAAGTTGGGTCAAAATGTTACATTTCAAAAACATAACGAGGCAACAATTATAATGAAAATGAAAAGATTACATGAATAAGTAAATAAAAATATACACATAAACTAAAATAAAGATTGATAAAAATTAATACACACACAAAAAAACACACATTGGAATACACGTGCAAAAGTCCCCAGTGTTTACCAGACAAGTACATGAATAATAATAATCAGTGTGAAACCAATCAACAGAAACAGTTTCAAAACAAGTGCAAGATCAAAAAAGTGCTTTGTTCAGACTGATAACAGTTTGAGATGTCCTGCATCTCAGCGAACTAGACCTTCTGCCAGAGGGAAGAAGCTGGAACATGGCAGTAGTAGTTTTGACCACTCTGATATTTAATCACTCTGATGGTAAATCTGACAATTCTTCTTGGCAAAAAGCTTCCTGTTCCAGTCAATTCCTGGGCTGCCTTGCATAAACTCCGGTTAAATTTGTTATTATTTGAAAATAGTTGAGATATGGCTTCACACAACCACTAACAACGAGGGAAAGGTTTTTTTTTACCAAAACAATGCATTATATGAGGTTTTTATAATAATGCATTTGTTAGTATTTATTATCTTTCTAACCTCATAGCTAGTGCTCTACAGATGAAAAAAACAGCCTCTTGTATTGGTTTTTACTGGTAAAACATAATCAAATGCTGTGAATAAAGCTGAGACTCACCGCAAGCCCAAATGTCCACTGGTTTTCCATAAGGGTCTTTCCGCAAAACTTCTGGAGAGAGGTACCCAGGTGTCCCGGCAAAACCTTCCAGAAAAAGGAAAGAAGTGAGTTAATATCAACAAGCCTCAAATCCACTGCACTCTGATCTGTCAAAGAAACTACAGAAACTTTTGGTAAATCAAGACATTCTACATTTTCTTAATGTTATTCTAGAGTCAGCATGGTATTCTAGAGTCAGCATAGTATTCTAGAGTCAGCATAGTATTCTAGAGTCGGCATAGTAATCTAGAGTCAGCATGGTAATCTAGAGTCAGCATAGTATTCTAGAGTCGGCATAGTAATCTAGAGTCAGCATGGTATTATGGAGTCAGCATGGTATTCTGGAGTCAACATGGTAATCTAGAGGCAGCATAGTAATCTAGAGTCAGCATGGTATAGTAGAGTCAGCATGGTAATCTAGAGTCAGCATGGTATTCTAGTCAGCATGGTATTCTGGAGTCAACATGGTAATCTAGAGTCAGCATGGTATTCTAGAGTTAGAATGGTATTAGTATTTGTTTGTGATCCCTCATTAAACCTGACGTACCATCACCAGTCATTTGAATTGATATTCTTATAATATAATAATGAGACTATTTGCTTTGTCAGTTCATGGTGTTGAATTTTAAATACTAAATTAAGTAAAATATACTGTGAAACAAGCGTAAATGGAAACAAATGCTTTTCACCTGTAGTTCCCTATGCTACCACCAGGGGGAAGTGTTGAATTTGTATTTGTTTGTTTTACTTCCAAATTAATAAATTACCAGCTAAAAACTAATGAGAAATTGCCAAAACTAATTCATTCATGGGGCAATATTTTTGTTTTAAAAGGCTTAAAACATAGAAAAAGTCAAATTTGAAGAATAAAGTTAAAACAGTGTGATACATTGGTCTCATTTCCTTACATCGATTGTCTCCACCATAAAAGCAGGACGCCATTAGATTAAAAAAGTTTACCGAAAAGTCATCACGGATCTTCCACATAAAATGGAAAATAAATTCTCGTTGATTTAGATTTTCTCATTTGTCAGGCGGCCGCCGGGGGCTGGAGACTCCCAGGTTGAACGGGCCAATCTCGGCTGTTGAATTTTTAATGCAGGAAATGTTGACGGTTTTGTGAATGGTGGGAGTTATGGGCTGAAGCGGATGACGACAGCAGCGAGCCGCGAGCGAAAATACATCAATCTGACTGCTGCTGATGTAGGGGCAAGGCCAGGCGGGTTTAATTGTATAGCACAAGGTTCACAGACAAGGCAACATAGATAAAAGCATTAAAATCATAAATAATCACAGTGCATTACAAAAAGTCACTATTCCATCCTTCAGTTGTATGCAGAGATAAAGAGAACTGTTTTTGAGTGGGAGATTTTCTCATATTTTCAGAAAGATTGTTCCAGATTTTAGCTGCATAGGTCTGAAATTGTTCTTTGTTGGCATGGTCTAAGTATTTTCTTTTAAAATGTGTCTAGAAGTGGTGACAATATTCAAAAACATATGCCTGATGTTGACCAGTAAAGAGCATTTTCAGACATAAGGAAATCATGCGAGTTTGTGTCTATTCAAAATAACTCCTCCATTTCTTTAATAAGTAATATTTATCTATATAGTGCATTTCACAGACCCAGGTCACACAAAGCGCTTTACAACTTTTGGTTTTATCAGTATCTTCCATTCATGATTCAATCTCCATCAAAGCCCCTGACCATCCATCCCCATGCACTAACTTTCTCATTACATGCATTACTATTGTACATGTTTTTTAGTGATAGGGGAAACCGGAGCACCCGGAGAAAATCTACACAGACACGGGAAGAACTTGCAAACTTAACACAGAAAGGCTGGAGGTGGAATCGAACCCAGGTCCTTCTTGCAGTGTAGCACAAGCTCTAATGTATTGGTACCTGCTTTGAAATTTAAATCCTACAAGATAGACACACTTATAACACTGCAAAATTTGGCAAAATGTATCTTAATTTGTTTGAATTAAGATAAAAAACCACTCGATTCAAGCAATAACTGCCTCATATTTTATAATGTTTTGCAGTGTATTAGATGTGAAAGTCTAGATATCGGGTGAAATTGGTCAAACAAACAGAGACAGAGACACATTTCCACTGGTCTTGGTTGTATTCTGCAGTGGGGGGTCAGATTAGTGTGAGACCCCCTGGACGTATCCATCCACACAGCGTATCTTTAGCACGTGTTGTTTTAATGTATGAGCGTATTCCTCACCGAACCATGCCTGCTGGTCGCCCTGCACTTCGATGGCGAGGCCGAAGTCTGCCAGCTTCACCGCCGCCCCCTTCATCTTACTGGCCAGCAGCAGGTTCTCAGGCTGCGGAGAAGGAGAACAGCACGTAAATAAACAAGAACGAAGCGAGACAGGGCCTGACCGGTGGCACTTTCTATCATGGCGGGTCTACGTGTTATGTGTGAGGAAACAGAACAGCAGGAGGGGGAGAGAGGAGAGGGGAGAGGAGAGAAGGGACATGGGGAGAGGGGAGATGGGGAGAGGGGGAGAGGGAAGAAGGGAGAGGGGGAGTAGAGTAGAGTAGGTTTGCTTAGACAACAGTAGAGTAGAGTAGAGTGGGTAATTGGACAACAGTAGAGTAGAGTAGAGTAGAGTAGATTAGAGTACAGTAGAGTAGAGTAGAGTAGGTTAGATTGGACAACAGTAGAGTAGAGTAGAGTAGATTAGAATAGAGTAGAGTAGAGTAGAGTAGACTACAGTAGAGTAGAGTAGGTTAGATTAGACAACAGTAGAGTAGAATAGAGTAGAGTAGAGTAAAGTAGACTACAGTAGAGTAGAGTAGAGTAGAGTAGACTACAGTAGAGAAAAGTAGAGCAGAGCAGGTCAGAGTAGAGTAGAGTTTTGCAAATACATTTACAAGTGAATGACACATCTCTTCCTCCCAGAAACAGGGTGAGGGCAAATTTAATTTAAAAGAGTTTTGTCAAAGTATAGCTTTGAAAAATATATATTTATTTCTACAAAACGGAAACTGACAGAGATCTCGAATTAATATATATTAAAAAAATGAAACTTAAATTGCGAACTGAGCAGGAGAGAGAGAGAGAGAGAAGTGCGTGGTGGGATAGAGCGAGGAAAGATGTGTAGGAGCGAGGAGAGGAGAGGAGGCCTTATATGGGCACCGGCTGGTAACCATGGCAACCTGTTTAAAACTGTAAGACTGCGAGATGAACAGGGGAGAGGGACATGCAGAGAGACACGCTAAAGCTAATCGTGCTACAGCTACCTTTAGACACACACAAAAACATAGAGAGACACACACACACACACACACAAAGACAAAGACATGCACAGAGACACACACGTGGAAAGAGAGAGACACACACAAAGAGACAGGCACAGACACACACACACACACACACGAAGACAGAGACATGCACACACAGGCAGAGACACACACGTGGAAAGAGAGCGATACACACAAAGAGACAGGCACAGACACACACACACATACACACACACACAAAGACAGAGACATGCACACACAGGCAGAGACACACACGTGGAAAGAGAGAGACACACAGACAAACAGAGACAGACACAGAGAGATACAAATACATAAACACACACACACTCACACACAGGTAGAGACACACATGCAGGGACAGACACAGAGAGAGAGAGACAGGGAGAGACAGACAGACACACACACACACACACACACACAGAGAGAGAGACACATAGACTAAAGCTAAAGCTAATCGTGCTACAGCTAGGTGCAGAGATGCCTCACACTGACGCGACAACAAGATGTGACTCTGGGAGCGTCTGAGTGGAATGCAAATGTGTGGATGAGATGAGAAAACCCAGGAATATCATAAGTATTCTATTCTCGTATTCTCCACGTTAAAGGTGTGACATCACTCCTCATCTCCAGGTTCAAAGCTGCAGTGACTTAAAGCTGGAGTATGGATTTTGGAAACTTTTATGCTCTGGCTTTTAACCTACTTCAGTCGTGTGTCGTTTGTGGACTTTTTCCTTTGGTTTTAAAAAAGTTCTATACAAATAAAGATCATCATCATTATTGTCGTGATTACTATTATTATTTATTTATGAATTGGCAGAGGGCGACAGTGGAAGAGCATCGGCCTTTGAGCCTGAAGGTCGTGGGTTCGAGCCCACCATGAGACCTTCTCCACCGACTCCCACTGATGACTGCTGCTGTTGTGTCCTTGGGCAAGACACTTAACCCCACTTTGCTGGAAGCCCCAGCAGGAATATCGAGGCTATGCCATAGAGCAGCCATTCTCCTGTGACTCACCACCTGAGGATCAGTGATGGGCTGGTGCTCTGAGTGCTGGGTGGCATCTCTGGCCACCCCCTGACCCAGAAATGGATTAAGGGCTAGAAAATGGATGGATGGATGAATTGACTTATTTTTGTATACATTTATATGTTTTATAATTGAAGAGACTTCAGAAACAGATATCTAAGTTTTGAAAATTTGTCAAAAAGTAGCATTTCTCATGATATTGGCAGTAAATTATCTAAAATTATTAATTTAATTCATTATCATTATTTAATTTATTAATCATTTATTTAATCTATTTTTAAAGTATAGAGTTGTGCTTACTATACTTAAAGGTTTAAAGGAGGATTTTCTCAAATTTTAGGAAAGAACTGCGCTTTCCACTCTTTGAACGTAACTCTCTGGTCTTATTTGACGAGAACATATCAACAGAATGATTGACAGTTGGGAGGACCAATAGTCTCCTCGGAAGTGGAAAATCCTCCTATGTGCCTTTAACTATCACGTATGTTGTGTGCTCCTCATTCCTTCTGCTTTGTAACTGGTGATGCAACACTGACATTTCCCCACTGTGGAATGAATAATTCATCTCTCAATCTTAATCTTAATCTTAAATCAGAAAGTATTTGCTCAAAAAGGGTGAAACTTTATTCGCATTGCACTAAACTAAATCTGGCTTTACATAAACAACATTCTTCTTATGTCACTTATCTGTTTTTCTAATGTACATAACTATTCACTTCTTATATATAGATATGTGCAGCATTTTGTCAACTGCTTGTGGATTAACTGTGCTATACAATTAAAGTGGATTGGATTTGGGTAGCACGCTCCTATAGAGGCCTGATTGCTAAGGCTCTTTAGAAAGCACTCCTCTGCAGTAATCAACCTTACATCGCCATCTCAGACCCCTCTCCTCCCTGTGATGTCACACACACACACCAGTTGTCCTGGCAACTCCCGAAGTCCATCAAACCCTGCTCTCCATTCATCACACAGACACTTTACCCCCGGCGCTCTGGGCGGCCATGTTGTCTGTCGGCCTTAAGAGAAGGGTTTTTTCCCCTGTTCCTGCGTCATCTGAAGCTTCTCACGTGCACATGAGTCACTGCTGTTGTGTTTGGAAGCTCACACACACACAGATACACACAGACGCACAGAGACGCACACAGATACACACACAGACAGAGGGATAAAGAGACAGAGAGAGAGAGACACACACACACACACACACATGGATACAGACACACATACACAAACACACACGGATACAGACACAGAGACAGAGAGACACACACACGGATACAGACACACACACACAAACACACACAGATACAAACGCACAGAGACAGACACAGATACACACACAGACAGAGGGATAAAGAGACAGAGAGAGAGACAGAGACACACACAAAGACAGAGAGATATACACACACAAACACACAAATAGAGAGAGAGATACACACAGAGACACACACACACAGATACAGACACACCGAGACAGACACAGAGACAGAGAGACACGCATACACACACACGGATACAGACACAGAGACAGAGAGACACACACACACATGGATACAAACACACATACACAAACACACACAGATACAGACACAGAGACAGAGAGACACGCACACACAGATGGATACAGACACACACACACACACACACACAAACACACACAGACACACGCACACACACACACGGATACAGACACACACACAGAGACAGACACAGAGACAGAGAGACAGGCACACACACACACACACACACACATTGCAAAGAGCCTATGGTGGAGAGCAGCTAAAAAATCTTTCCCGGTAACTGTCAAAAGTTACAAAAGTTTAGCGCTAATTTCTTTGTGATCTCTGGAACAATCCACATGACACAAAAACCAACTGTCCTCTCCTTTGTCAGCATCTGTCAACAATTCTCTATATCTACTTCCTACTGAATTCTTACTTCTACAACAACTACTAAAAAATATTACCACAACATCGGTTTGACCAAAAACACAATAGTTGAGCTCTGAATAGGATATTGGAGCGAGATGAATATAGTTATAGAATTTAAATGAAAAAAAATACTTTAACAAACTTTCCATATACAAAACATATACTGTACAACCGCCTCCATTTCAGATTTGGAAAAATATTCAAAAAAAATAAAAAATAAATAAATAACACGTGGAGAGGATCAACATGTGATGGAGGGGAAAAAAACATGAAAAAATAAATTATGAGAGAGGATGCTGCAACCAGATTGAGCGTTGCCACGGGAGACGATGGAAAGGGGTGAGATGGGGATGGGGGTTGGGGTGTGCGGTCGTCAACGGCAACGGGCATCCACTCACCTTGAGGTCTCGGTGCACGATATCATGCTGGTGGATATGATTGACACTCTCCAGGATCTGGCTAATGCAGTGGCTACGGGAGAGAAGAGCAGAGACGAGCGGCGTTACTGTCGCATCACACACAAAAGGGAAACACTGGGGTCCGTAATGAGACACAACTGGATTATGCACGGCAATAAAAGACACGTGTTAAAGCTCGGGTACTTGAATTTCTATTTCAAAACCCCATGGGACTATGCTATGAAAAAATAATAACAGGAATAGTAACGCATCTGTTGTTTAGAGTTATTATTCATTCTATACACAGTGGTGATAAACTACTACGGAGAGAGGTGTATGGTCAGAGAGTGTTTGGGCCTGTGTGTGTGTGTGTGTGTGTGTGTGTGTGTGTGTATTGGGTTGTGTGGAATGAGTGGTTGGAGATACATAAATGTTTGCTTTGTCCAATTTCTTTTTCAAACGGTTTATTCCTGTTTTTTTTTTTTTATTAACAGCACTTAAAAAACTGGTGGTGATAATCTAATACTGTAGCCACATCTGTCCGATGCAACCAGTCTGTGCCATCAGCCCCTCCCAACACCACCAACCACACACACCAGACTCAATCTAATGTGGATGAAGAATCTTGCCTAAGGACACGGCAACAGTTTGTTAATTATAATTTGTTAGTTATTATTCAATGTTTAGAATGGGATAAATTGCAAGGTCATTTTCTCTGGGGAAAAATAGCTTCAAAATGATGTATAACATGCCATTGTAGCCCATACAACCTCATATTCTCTGCATGTGAAAATCATCTCAAGGATCCTCTGTAATACCCTTGTGTACCCTGAGGGGCCCGCGCACCCCTGGTTGGGAAACACAGCTTTACGCTACATCGTTTGACAGACTGTGGCCGAGCGTGGACAACACACAGTGTTGCTCCGGAGCCTTTAACACAGACGTATTAAAGCCAAGTGTAGCTTAAAGAATCAATAGTGTGGATCCGATGCGGAGGCCTTAAAACCAAAAAGTCAATAAAGCCCGATCCCAGGAGCAATTTTAATAATAGGACTGTCGATCCAACTGCCACTAACACTATCGCCCTTATATCTGTGTAGCAGCAGGAACGTTCTAGTTTACTATCACCATGACAACGCAATGAGAGTAAAGCTAAAGATGTATTAGGTTTTCTTGGAGAGGACAGTATTCAAAACATTTATATATTTTAACATTTTGGCCTAAAACGGCTTAATATTAGGAAGAAAGTTAGACTCTAAGGAGCAAAGGGACTGGCCTCCTGCTGGTCCCAGAGTCAGGACTGAACATGGAGAGGCAGCATTTCTGATTTATGCAGCAAAAATCTGGAAAAGTCTTCCTGAAAATGTAAGACAGGCTTCGACAATGTTCAAATCCAGGTTAAAAACAGTTCAGTTTCAGCTGCATACAACTGAAAGACTCTTTTTAATGTACGAGTTGAATGCCCTTGCACGCTTTTGAGTTGCCTTGTGTATGATCTGTGCAATACAAATAAACTTGCCTTGCCAATTTGCGACATAAGCTCTTGATGTTAGCGTGAAGGCATTCAAAAAAGTCTGTTTACAACAAGCAAACAACAATGTTGCAACATGGCTGGTAAACTAGCACAAAACTGACCCCAAAAATATGCATCCTTGGACCATTTTTTCTGTTTATCAGCCTCGGGCTCGCTCCCATCCTCCTCAGGCTCGCTCCCATCCTCCTCAGGCTCGCTCCCATCCTCCTAGGGCTCGCTCCCATCCTCCTCGGGCTCGCTCCCATCCTCCTCGGGCTCGCTCCCATCCTCCTCGGGCTCGCTCCCATCCTCCTCTGGCTCGCTCCCATCCTCCTCGGGCTCGCTCCCATCCTCCAAGTGCTCGCTCCCATCCTCCTCGGGCTCGCTCCCATCCTCCTCGGGCTCGCTCCCATCCTCCTCTGGCTCGCTCCCATCCTCCTCTGGCTCGCTCCCATCCTCCTCGGGCTCGCTCCCATCCTCCTCTGGCTCGCTCCCATCCTCCAAGTGCTCGCTCCCATCCTCCTAGGGCTCGCTCCCATCCTCCAAGTGCTCGCTCCCATCCTCCAAGTGCTCGCTCCTCCCATCCTCCTCTGGCTCGCTCCCATCCTCCTCAGGCTCGCTCCCATCCTCCTCAGGCTCGCTCCTCCCGGCTCGCTCCATCCTCCAAGTGCTCGCTCCCATCCTCCTCTGGCTCGCTCCCATCCTCCTAGGGCTCGCTCCCATCCTCCTCAGCTCGCCCATCCTCCTCGCTCGCTCCCATCCTCCTCAGGCTCGCTCCCATCCTCCTCAGGCTCGCTCCCATCCTCCTCAGGCTCGCTCCCATCCTCCTAGGGCTCGCTCCCATCCTCCTCGGGCTCGCTCCCATCCTCCTCGGGCTCGCTCCCATCCTCCTCTGGCTCGCTCCCATCCTCCTCTGGCTCGCTCCCATCCTCCTAAGGCTCGCTCCCATCCTCCTCGGCTCGCTCCCATCCTCCAAGTGCTCGCTCCCATCCTCCTCTGGCTCGCTCCCATCCTCCTCGGGCTCGCTCCCATCCTCCTCAGGCTCGCTCCCATCCTCCAAGTGCTCGCTCCCATCCTCCTCTGGCTCGCTCCCATCCTCCTAGGGCTCGCTCCCATCCTCCTCAGGCTCGCTCCCATCCTCCTCAGGCTCGCTCCCATCCTCCTCGGCTCGCTCCCATCCTCCAGTCTCGCTCCCATCCTCCTCTGGCTCGCTCCCATCCTCCTCGGCTCGCTCCCATCCTCCTCGGCTGCTCCCATCCTCCTCAGGCTCGCTCCCATCCTCCAAGTGCTCGCTCCCATCCTCCTCTGGCTCGCTCCCATCCTCCTAGGGCTCGCTCCCATCCTCCTCAGGCTCGCTCCCATCCTCCTCAGGCTCGCTCCCATCCTCCTCAGGCTCGCTCCCATCCTCCTCGGGCTCGCTCCCATCCTCCATCTCGGCTCGCTCCCATCCTCCTCAGGCTCGCTCCCATCCTCCAAGTGCTCGCTCCCATCCTCCTCGGGCTCGCTCCCATCCTCCAAGTGCTCGCTCCCATCCTCCTCGGGCTCGCTCCCATCCTCCTCAGGCTCGCTCCCCATCCTCCTCGGGCTCGCTCCCATCCTCCTCGGGCTCGCTCCCATCCTCCTCAGGCTCGCTCCCATCCTCCTCGGGCTCGCTCCCATCCTCCTCGGGCTCGCTCCCATCCTCCTTGGGCTCGCTCCCATCCTCCTCGGGCTCGCTCCCATCCTCCTCGGGCTCGCTCCCATCCTCCTCGGGCTCGCTCCCATCCTCCAAGTGCTCGCTCCCATCCTCCAAGTCCGCTCGCTCCCATCCTCCTCGGGCTCGCTCCCATCCTCCTCGGGCTCGCTCCCATCCTCCTCTGGCTCGCTCCCATCCTCCTCAGGCTCGCTCCCATCCTCCTCGGGCTCGCTCACATCCTCCTCGGGCTCGCTCCCATCCTCCTCGGGCTCGCTCCCATCCTCCTCGGGCTCGCTCCCATCCTCCTTGGGCTCGCTCCCATCCTCCTCGGGCTCGCTCCCATCCTCCTCGGGCTCGCTCCCATCCTCCTCGGGCTCGCTCCCATCCTCCTCAGGCTCGCTCCCATCCTCCTCAGGCTCGCTCCCATCCTCCTCAGGCTCGCTCCCATCCTCCTCAGGCTCGCTCCCATCCTCCTCGGGCTCGCTCCCATCCTCCTCGGGCTCGCTCCCATCCTCCTCGGGCTCGCTCCCATCCTCCTCGGGCTCGCTCCCATCCTCCTCGGGCTCGCTCCCATCCTCCTCGGGCTCGCTCCCATCCTCCTCAGGCTCGCTCCCATCCTCCAAGGCTCGCTCGCTCCCATCCTCCTCGGGCTCGCTCCCATCCTCCTCAGGCTCGCTCCCATCCTCCAAGTGCTCGCTCCCTCCTCCTCGGGCTCGCTCCCATCCTCCAGTGCTCGCTCCCATGCTCGCTCCATCCTCCAAGTGCTCGCTCCCATCCTCCTCGGGCTCGCTCCCATCCTCCCTCGCTCGCTCCCCTCCTCCTCGGGCTCCATCCTCCTCGGCTCGCTCCTCCTCGGGCTCGCTCCCATCCTCCTCGGCTCGCTCCCATCCTCCTCGGGCTCGCTCCCATCCTCCTCGGGCTCGCTCCCATCCTCCTCGGCTCGCTCCCATCCTCCTCGGGCTCGCTCCCATCCTCCTCGGGCTCGCTCCCTCCTCCTCCTCGGGCTCGCTCCCATCCTCCTCGGGCTCGCTCCCATCCTCCTCGGCTCGCTCCCATCCTCCTCTGCTCGCTCCCTCGCTCCATCCTCTGGCTCGCTCCCATCCTCCTCGGCTCGCTCCCATCCTCCAGTGCTCGCTCCCATCCTCCTCGGGCTCGCTCCCATCCTCCAAGTGCTCGCTCCCCCATCCTCCAAGTGCTCCAGCTCCTCCATCCTCCTCGGGCTCGCTCCCATCCTCCTCAGGCTCGCTCCCATCCTCCTCGGCTCGCTCCCATCCTCCTCGGGCTCGCTCCCCTCCTCCTCCCTCTCGGCTCGCTCCCATCCTGCCCCATCCTCTCGGCTCGGGCTCGCTCCCATCCTCCTCGGGCTCGCTCCCCCCTCCTCTCGGGCTCGCTCCCATCCTCCTCGGGCTCGCTCCCATCCTCCTCGGGCTCGCTCCCATCCTCCTCGGGCTCGCTCCCATCCTCCAGTGCTCGCTCCCATCCTCCAAGGCTCGCTCCCATCCTCCTCGGGCTCGCTCCCATCCTCCTCGGGCTCGCTCCCATCCTCCTCGGGCTCGCTCCCATCCTCCTCGGGCTCGCTCCCATCCTCCAAGTGCTCGCTCCCATCCTCCTCAGGCTCGCTCCCATCCTCCTCGGGCTCGCTCCCATCCTCCTCGGGCTCGCTCCCATCCTCCTCAGGCTCGCTCCCATCCTCCTCTGGCTCGCTCCCATCCTCCTCGGGCTCGCTCCCATCCTCCTGGCTCGCTCCCATCCTCCTCGGGCTCGCTCCCATCCTCCTCGGGCTCGCTCCCATCCTCCTCGGCTCGCTCCATCCTCCCGTCGCTCCATCTCGGCTCGCTCCCATCCTCCCGGCCGCTCCTCCCATCCTCCTCGTGCTCGCTCCCATCCTCCTCGGCTCGCTCCCATCCTCCTCGGGCTCGCTCCCATCCTCCTCGGCTCGCTCCCATCCTCCTCCTCATCCTCCTCGGCTCGCCATCCTCCTCGGCTCGCTCCATCTCCTCTGGCTCGCTCCCATCCCCATGGCTCCTCCATCCTCGGCTCGCTCCCATCCTCCTCGGGCTCGCTCCCATCCTCCTCGGCTCCTCATCCCTCAGGCTCGCTCCCATCCTCCTCAGGCTCGCTCCCATCCTCCTCAGGCTCGCTCCCATCCTCCTCAGGCTCGCTCCCATCCTCCTCGGGCTCGCTCCCATCCTCCTCGGGCTCGCTCCCATCCTCCTTGGGCTCGCTCCCATCCTCCTCGGGCTCGCTCCCATCCTCCTCGGGCTCGCTCCCATCCTCCTCGGGCTCGCTCCCATCCTCCTCGGGCTCGCTCCCATCCTCCTCAGGCTCGCTCCCATCCTCCAAGTGCTCGCTCCCATCCTCCTCAGGCTCGCTCCCATCCTCCTCGGGCTCGCTCCCATCCTCCTCGGGCTCGCTCCCATCCTCCTCAGGCTCGCTCCCATCCTCCTCGGGCTCGCTCCCATCCTCCTCGGGCTCGCTCCCATCCTCCTTGGGCTCGCTCCCATCCTCCTCGGGCTCGCTCCCATCCTCCTCGGGCTCGCTCCCATCCTCCTCGGGCTCGCTCTCATCCTCCTCAGGCTCGCTCCCATCCTCCAAGTGCTCGCTCCCATCCTCCTCAGGCTCGCTCCCATCCTCCTCGGGCTCGCTCCCATCCTCCTCGGGCTCGCTCCCATCCTCCTCAGGCTCGCTCCCATCCTCCAAGTGCTCGCTCCCATCCTCCTCAGGCTCGCTCCCATCCTCCTCGGGCTCGCTCCCATCCTCCTCGGGCTCGCTCCCATCCTCCTCGGGCTCGCTCCCATCCTCCTCGGGCTCGCTCCCATCCTCCTCGGGCTCGCTCCCATCCTCCTCGGGCTCGCTCCCATCCTCCTCAGGCTCGCTCCCATCCTCCTCGGGCTCCGCAGGATCAAAGGAATACATGACGAAGAGTTGATGCAACGGCTGCGGCCCACTCGCCTCCGTCATCTTTTATTGTGTCAGCGCGTGGAGACGGTCACCGGGTCAACAGCTCGAATCTCACTGGCTGCTCACGTCCAACCCAAGCCCATGTTGTGGAAAGAAATGGCCCTGATCCCATTTGTGGGCAAATTCTGGTTAAGTCTGACGGGGGAACGTGGTTGGACTGTTTGTCTAATGCTGCAATTGACTTGAGATTAGGCCAAGGCAAGGCAAATGTATTTGTATAGCACGGTTTATGCATTCGGATGCTTGTTGTGTGTACAAATGTGCACCACTATAAGGAACAAATAAATAAAACCGTTATGAACGAATAAATTTAAAAAAGTAAATAACATACACAAGGCGCCGCATTCGTAAATAATCATAAAGAGAGAGCACAGCTGGACAGAACAGAATTTTCAGGAAGACTGAAAGACCAGATATTACCTGCGTGAATCTGACACGCTGCCTCCCCACGTTTAGTCCTGACTCTGGGTACCAGAGCTCCTCAGAGTCACATCAGAAGGCCAGTCCCTGTGCTCCTCTGAGTCACCAGCAGAGACCTCCATGGTTCATATGGCACTAACATGTGACAGATGTACTTTGGTGCGAGGCCATGGAGAGACTTTAACTCTTTGATTGAGACGCTGCATGTTTTGGCCTGATTTTCTCACATAATGTTACTTTTATGAGAGTCTACTCCTGTATAGAGAGTGACTGATTGTGTGAGTGGGTGTAATTTACAAGAGAATAACAGCTCATATAATGCACGGCTTAAAGGGATTGGTTTCACTGAGGTCACGTATGTAAACTATCAGATCAATTATCTAAACAGATTTGAACATGAGAGTCTGGACGGCTTCAAAGGACACAGCACACAGCTTAAATATATAATTATGGTCGGAACATTTGCACGCTTTAGTACCTGTTTTTCCTGTGGTAGAGTGACAGTACTACTATGACACTTTTGGAACAAATAATTAGTCAAATCAATGGTGCACTCTCATCATCATCTTTGGTCCAGAGAGAGCTCAGAGGGAGAGCAAGGAGAGAGAGAGGCCAAAGAGAGAGACCAGAGAGAGAAAGGCCAGAAAGGCAGACCAGAGAGAGAGACAAGAGAGAGACCAGAGAGAGAAAACAGAGAGAGACCAGAGAGAGACCAGAGAGAGACAAGAGAGAGACCAGAGAGAGAAAACAGAGAGAGACCAGAGAGAGACCAGAGAGACGTCACATGTAGGAAATGTTTATATGATGTTGGAAACAGTGATTATTTTTGTGGCATTGTCTCTATCTTGTCTCTGTCTTGTTGTTTGAATCACTTGCCTTAAACGTGTCAGTTTAAGATGGAACAATGTTTGGAAGAGGACGCTGCTTCCTGCGTTTAGCCGGACTGCTGCCGTCTGAATAATGCAGAGGCGTCCTGTCCATTCAACACTGAGCCGTGTCCTAATTGACTTGTTGACAGCGAGGGGCACTTCCTGACTGGAGAGTGGACCGACCAATCACGGCCCTCGCTCTCCCGTTAAGGGCGCGACAGGAAGTGGAGGTGGATGCGAAGGATAACAAAGCAGAGGTACTGGACTGTGGGTAGATGTGCTGGTTCTACAGTACAGATGCAGGTTACAGAGAAATATGGTTGATTGTTTTTGCTGCTGAAACCATTTTATTTGGTATTTTAGTGATAAACGCAATGATTTCAGTCGTAACCATCCATCTATTTTCTTCCCCTTAATCCATTTCTGGGTCGGAGGGGTGGCAGCTCCGATTCAATTTCAGTAGTAATTGAATGTGAAATATTATATAATTCTTCGTACGTTACTGCTGCTTCTACAAAGACTGATACTACTACTGCTGATGCTGCTGCTACTACTGCTGCTATAGCTAATATTACTGCTACTACTGCTGCTATAGCTAATATTACTGCTACTACTACTACTGCTATAGCTAATATTACTGCTACTACTACTGCTATAGCTAAAATTACTGCTACTACTGCTATAGGTAATATCACTGCTACTACTACTGCTATAGCTAAAATTACTGCTACCACTGCTATAGCTAATTTTACTGCACCTACTATTATTGACCAGATGCATCAACGTCATCCAGTCACGTGATTGTGAATGAGCTTACGGCGGAAGTATTGGAAACTAGCATTGCTGCGAGAGCAAAACGGACACAACTCTTAAAAACGGAGCTTCCTCTCCTAAATCGAGATGCCTGCTTCAAGCACATGTTCTCTGGTGGAAGTAGGACATCAGGTCAGGGCTCACAAAGAGTGGTATTTGGAGAAGTTAAGGATTGCCTAACTGGATGTTGACCTGTACCCCCAGTCAATTTTATCGATTAAATAAAATGTCTATTTTTGCCCATGATCTTTATCATTATCGTTAACAATGCATCCCCTCACACTGGAGCAGATTTGTGATATGTACATTTTGCTGGTAGCATTAGCAATAGTCCACTTTTCTGTGGCTTTTCTGTCTACAGCCAAACATGATACGTACTGACGGAGAGGAAAATAGTGAAACACGCAATTGACTTAAAAGATAAAAATGTCTATGTTGCAGCGCACATACAGGACAGTAGTAAGAGACACGTTTGACGTGTGACATTGTCCTCCACATTAATGGAAATAAAATAAATACAAACTTGTGATTGCTTTATCTTGTAAAAAGTGTTCACTGCATATTAGGGAGTACTTGGATGGGTCCTAGTCCTTTTGGTTGATTGCCGCTGGCCATCGTCGTCTTCTGTCTTTATGACGAGCAGGTATCAGATAAAAAAGTGTATGTCCTTGCCTGTTAGTATAATCAACCGCACTGCAAAATGTCACAGTTTTGGCTGTAATGCGCTGAAACAGGTTGTTTTGGTCAGGTGTCCGTAGGCTCCAGTTAGGCCAGGACTCCACCGGGCGCGTCTCCGTTGACGCGCGTTGGCTGCTGTCCGTCAGACGTCCGTAAAACGGACAAGTGGTCAAACCGGTTGCAGCAGCGCGCAACTCTGGCTGTCCGTTTATCAGCCTGCTTTGTTTTTGTAGGAGACACGTTTGGGCATTGTGTGAATGAATGAATGTTTGGCTGATGGAGGAGTTATGTATTGTCGGCGTTATGTGTGCGTGGGCGTGTGCGTGAGAGCGCCTGTGTGTGTGTGTGTGTGTGTGTATGTGTGTGTGTGGGGTGGGAGGCGTGTGCGTGCATGTGTGTTTGGGTCTGTTACCGCAGCATTTATTATGATCCAGCCTCTTAGTTTGTTTTCTATACTTATTTAGCTCGTCATACACTTTTATCGGACCCAACTCGCCTCTCCGCGGCTTTAGGCAACAGGCAGCCGCTATAGTTTTAAATAGAAGAAGCGGTGTGTGATTTGTATGAGCTGTGGCTATGATCTATGCCAGCCATTCCCAAACTCAGTAACACCGAGGCCCCCTTAAAAATCTGACGGGTCTGCGTGGCCCCCCAAAATAATAACCAAGAAGACAACATTAAGAATAGGCTCTTCTGGTTATTTTATTTTGGGGAAATAGCCTCTGCTACAAACATTGTAATACAAAAATGATTACAGTGGATTATTCAAGTCAAATAATGAACACAAATATTTTAATATTATAAACAAAACATTATAAATTTAACATTAAATAATTATATTTTATTTTTATTTTTTTTATGACCTCCCGCGGCCCCCCTGCAGTACCCTCGCGGCCCACCAGGGGGCCGCGGACCCCACTTTGGGAGACACTGATCTATGCAAAGCACAGCATATTGAAGCATTGAGGACGTCGCAATGGATGAGGCAAAACTTATTGAAAACAATTGGAAAAAGGGGAGAGAGAAAAGAGAAAAGAACTCCTACATATCCAGTGTTGTGAGATCTGTCTCTCATAAGTGCAGCTCTGTGTGTAATGTGTGTGTGAGTGTGAGTGTGAGCGCGCGGCGGTGAGGAGAGAGCGCCTCTCAGGTAGACGGGACAGAGCGAGAGGAAAAAGAGCGAGGTGTATGTAACGTTTAGCGTATTAACATTACGCGAAAAATAAATGGTAGATTTACAATCAGGAAACAATTATTTAAAGTAATACATGAAGAAAATTACACACGTTTGTTAATAATCATTGTCATTAGGGCTGGGCGATAAAACGATAATGATATATATCGCGATAGACATGTGTTCGATATCCATAGAGAATGGGGTTGATAGAATGTTCGATAGTTTAACTTAACTCCGTCAGGAAAAACAGGAAGAAAACACCGGAAGTAAAGCCGACTCATAAGCGCATGGCATTGTGGGGGATGTAGGCAGAGGCTTCTCGACCAATAACAGCCGAGCAGGAACCGCAAAACTTTCTGGGAAATGCAAAAACACCAACAACCGCACCATGCGTAGCGTCCATGGATTTATAGCTCGTGTTTCAATGCCGTGTCAATGGTTATGCACGTACGTGCGCGGAATAACATGTGCGGCGGCAGAGGCAGTGGACAGACCCGATGTATTCGGCGAAAGCAAGAGATTAACTTTTTCCTCGGGAAGCATGTGCGGCACAGAGAGCCGCACGGAGCGGTCACGGGGACACAAGACCCTCAAACAGCTAAACCAGGAGCTAAACCAGGAATAAAAAACCAGGATTAAACCAGGACTAACAACGAGGGACACAGTGTGAACATATTCCTCCAGCCTCATCGCACCGTGACTGTAAACAAGGCTGCTAAGGTTGGTTAGCCCACACGACAAATTTATTTATTTAGGTTAAAAAAAACACTCAATATATATTGTTATCGACCGATATGAATGACTTATATCGTGATATAGTTTTCAGCCATATCGCCCAGCCCTAATTGTCATTAACAAATACTTATAACCAAGGACTACAGCATATATCAATATATGTTTAATAATGTGGTAAATATATTATTCCATTGTATTTTCAATGGAAAACGGACCCGACACGCGTCGACGGACGGAACAAATAGGATTGTTTTTATTTCGTCCGTTTGCGTCCGTTGCACCCTCCGTTAACGGAATATGTCCGACGTGCGTCGGACGGACGCATGCGGAGGCAGTGGAGCCACTTCCATTCACCCTCATGGAGATAACGGAGACGGAGATGAAACGGACGTGTTTGGACGGATCCGTCGTCCGTTTTACGCGTCCGGTGGAGTCGGGGCCTTTGACTTCTGACGTCTGTCATGGAGAGTGGGCGTGGCCGGGACGTCACATGCAAGGGGTCAATAGGTAATTTTACTGCTACTACTGCTATAGCTAAAATTACTGCTACTACTGCTATAGCTAAAATTACTGCTACTACTGCTATAGCTAAAATTACTGCTACTACTGCTATAGCTAATATTACTGCTACTACTGGTGCTACTATTACTGCTACTGCTACTAAAGCTGCTACTAGTGCTACTACTACTGCTACTGCTACTGCTACCGCTACTGATATTATTGCTGCACCCACTACTACTGCCGCATCTGTTACTGCTACTACTGCTACTGTTACATTCGCTACTGCCAGTGTTACTACTGATGCTACTGCTGCTACTACTACTACAACTACTTCTACTGCAAAAAACAATATGTATTCAGCTTCACATGTTTTGTATACCAGTATAAAATGGAGTGGGGTTTGATCATCCATAGAAAAATATGAACATTAACAGACTGCAGGCGGTTCAACTGCATTTAAAATATCGTCTCTATAGAGCTGTTTTCTGTCTTTTTAAACCAAAGAATTGCCCATCAGTTTCTTCAAATGGTATTATTGTTAGAATCAATCAGTTGTGTTAAGGTCTGACACAGCTGATACGCGAAGGCTAGTCCAAAGGATTTGTATTTATTGTCAAAAGCTGCTCAAATTTTTTCCTTTCCTCACGATATTAAATGTTAATAACACAAGTAGAACACAATAAACTACTTCTACCACAAGATGGAGCTGTTGTGCTGATCCTTACCATCTCTCTATGCATCACACAGGTTTGTCCACATATTTTCAACTCAAGAAACTAATCTGAAACATGCGATGCCAAAGTAAATACTATCGAGATGTGTGTGTGTGTGTCTGTGTGTGTGTGTGTGTGTGTGTGTGCGTGTGAAAGACAAACCTGGCGTCGGCTTCACTGTAGTATTCTCTGGCTACGATGTCTTCGAAGAGCTCTCCCCCCGTCACCCTGGGGACACGTCACAAAGACAAGGTGAGAAGTGGCGTCCAGAGAGAGGAGTCATAGATGATGTGATGTGGACGGAGCAGACAGGAGAAAATATAAGTCAAACTCTATATGTCACAGCAAAAACACGCCAGAGTGTGTGAGGCTCAGCCATGTGGGGACCAGAGCCTGTGTGAAACTGAGCAGACTGGGAGTGCCGTCTGGAGACCTGGTGGTGAGAGGCTGTGTCGATAGAGCGGGAAAGGTTGGCGAGTTGTTTAGACCCATGTCAGCTGTTGACCACAGGGAAGACTTGAATGTGTAAGAATAGAGGGGACTGGGTTAAATTTGAATGGTGTTCAACAATGTGTTTCTGTATCGATCTCTACACTAAACTCAAACCAGAGACGGAGGAAATAGGGGTTGAAATTTTTGCTTTAGGGGGACAGTTTTTGTCTTCTTTTTATCCTGTTTTTAAACTGCCATTGACTTGACTAGAAGACTGTATATGGACACCTTGTTAGTCTGAATGTATGGAGAAATTGTTTATGCTATGTCTTTTTCTTTGTATGTGTCCCTGTGCTGTGAACCAAATTGCCCCATCGGGGACATGAAATAAAGTGAAGTGAAGTAATTTGAGCCTGTAAAGACAAGTGTGTTAATACGTGTCTGTGTGTATATGTATATGTTGTGTGTGTGCAAGCTTATGTGTGTGTGCTTGCGTGCCTATGTGTGTGTGCATGCTTATGTGTGTGTGCTTGCGTGTCTATGTGTGTGAATGCGTTTGTGTGTGTGTGCATATGTGATTATGTGTGTATATCTTTGTGTGCGCATCTATGCATGTGTATGTGTGTGTGTGTGTGTGTGTATGTGTATGTGTGTGTGTGTGTGTGCGTGTGTGTGTGTGTGTGTATGTGTTCATGTGTGTAGCTGAAACACTCACAGGTCAAAGACGAGGTAGTGAAAACCTTCCTCTGAAATGCTGTCGTGGAGCCGCACTGTGGAGACACACAACAAAACACATCTCAAAACCTGTCGACAACAAAAGGAACAAAGGAGAAATGAGACGAGATTTAACGCAGCTTCAGCCACGTTTAAAAAAACAGTTATTTGACAAATTGTTTTAATGATACAAGATTAAAACTAATCAAATCACAAGAATAATCAGTTACACACAGAATAAAACCTGGATATTTAGGACAGAAAAGAAAATTATAGTAACTTTTTGAGGGTAATCTTTAAAACCACAAATAACACAAAACTACATTATCTTTTGCATACTTAGAGCCGACTCTAATTTTTCACATTTCTGTCTGAAAAAGCTGATCTAAAGCAGTGACAGTGAACAGAACAATACAGATAGAACCAAACTGCTTAGAATTGATTACATAGTTAAATTCTTTGGTGGTTTGAAAGTTAGGTACCCCAGCTTTAAATCATCTCTGGTATTTTAGCGTTTCTTAAAAACACACTTTGGAACATTATCGGGAGAAAGCCTCGTCCCCATGTCTAAGTTTTTTCCGGGTTACAGGTCACATCGGTGGAGAACTAGCCCTAATGCATTGAAAATGGTATAGAATATGTTAGTACTATTGGGTTTATGCTAATATCGAGTTCCTGATAATTGACAGAAGCTTGAGCTAATATTGGTAGTTTTTTTGATGCTTCGTTGACTTTTCTTGAGCTGTTTCCCTGTCTCAGATTCTTGAAACGAAGCAAAACTAAAGCCGTATGAGAGCCGTGTGTCCGTGATCCCATTTCCTTCAGCAGACATTTGCCAAAGACATCTTGTTCATCAATAATTTTACGCTGGCAAATAAACCGTGTGTGAATAAAACAAAGCTAATGTCTGACGAGGAACAGTGCTGTCATAAACGGGTACAACATGTTCAAACCCGGTTCCAATGCAAAGAAACAGCTTTAAATCCTATTCTTGGGTTTCATGATGTCAGGGCAGTGGCGCGAATAAGAAACGTAGGACAGGACGTGACGTAGGACAGGACGTGACGTATCCTGGCGGTCCAGTCTGCCGGGTATTTACATACACGGAGATATAGTAGAAGAAGAAGCGCTGTCAAAATGCCATCTTTTGCGGTGTACGGTTATAGCAACTGCACAAATAGAGAGAAAGATAAGACTTTCTTCCGTGTTCCAACTGTGGTCTCATACAAAGGAGTACACTTAGAAAAAATCACTCGAATGAGGCGGGCGAGGTGGATCAGGGATTTCCCAGATAAGCGCCCCCTGCAGGCCACCGAATGAAAAGCAACAATTTCTTCTGTTATCTATTTATTTTTTTCAAAAATGCTCGAAATCAAGACTCTTTTGAGAAATATTTGTTAGTTCTCCCTTAGAATTGAGTGTCCCCCTCGCGATTAAGACTGTTACAACAACCCTACACCGCACAGGAGGAGAGCCTTTTAACTCCAAAACAAACAAGATTTACATGGTTTTCAATGGGAGCAAAACTGAGTTGTCCCACCTCTGCTCATTCGCCCCCTACAGGCCAGTTTAATGAAACCCAAGAATAGTATTGTTATCAAATCATCATATTAAGACAAAACAGAACATCAAGAGTGGTTGAAGTCTCCAGCTTTGTCTGATGATGGGACCTTCTGTCTTCTGCACCTGTGGACTGGCTCGGCTCGGCTCTCCCATCATATCCTACAATTCTGCAACCTACCCACAGCAATCCAGTATTCCTGCTGGCTATTCCTTGGTAACCATGGCTTCCAGCAGCACTCTGGTTAATCACTGTCAGTTAGAACAGTTTAGTTCCAGCTCGGCCTGGACAGAACCAGGACCAAGAGGGACTAAAGAATGACCTGGTACTGGCTCAACAGGGCTATAGTGGAAACGGTTCCAATGGGGTAAGAGTAGAGTAGAGTAGAGTAGAGTAGAGTAGAGTTATTTGTATATGGATAATTGTTATTTTTTTAAATTCTATTCTGTTTATATAAATCATAATTTTTTTTGTATACACAAAAAGCTGGAGAACCTGTTTATTAAATTTTGTTACTTTTATCTCTGTGCAGAATTTTGGAAACTTGTTTTATAAAATGTGCTATATAAATAAAGTGGATTGGATTGGATACACACGTACACATACACACACACACACATCTTGCAAAAATTGAGAAATCAACACAAAATCTTGGAAAAACGAGTGAGAAGAGAGGACTATGACACAAAGTTCAAATAAATTACAGCTTCATTAAATATCATTATGTCACGTAATTAAGGTATTTAATCTCTCTCTGCTTTTCTTCCCAAACACTTGAATGACGTAAAAACCATGACAAAAGTGCGACACAAGGAAATCTCTCTGTTCCAGTTTGAAAAACGCATTATCAAGAGTCACGACTTTCGCTAAAAAACACATCAAAATGACACATAATGAGACCTGGTGTGATCCTGTGTGTTTGTGTGCTGAGAAAAAGAAAAGGAGGTGTGTTATGTAAAACCAATTGTTTAGTTGTATAAGAAGTTGAAGTTAGAATGACCTGACGGCAAGAAATCTGTCTCCTCTATCCAACTGTTGAGCTACGGTGGCCTCTTTTGGACAAAGTTTGATGAGAAAGGTGCAGAAAGGTAAAGGACAGGAGACAGAGAAGGAGGACGTTAAATGACAAGGGCGAAGATTCTAGTTGTTGCTTAATACGTTAAAACTAAATAGATGTAAAAGAGGAGATTTGATTATAGATACTTACAGAGATTACAAAAAGAATAAGCTATATGCACACACAAGGACAAGTGGTGGAGGGAAAGAGACCAGAGTGAGACCAGAGAGAGAACAGAGAGCGTCCAGAAATAAAACGGAGAGAGACCAGAAAGAGACCAGAGAGTCCAGAAAGAGAACAGAGAGACACCTGAGAGAGTTTAGAGAGAGACCAGAGAGAGACCAGAGAGTCCAGAAAAAGAATAGAGAGAGAGTCCAGAGAGAGACCAGAAAGAGACCAGAGAGAGACCAGAGAGTCCAGAAAGAAAACAGTGAGACACCCGAGAGAGTTTAGAGAGAGACCAGAGAGAGACCAGAAAGAGACCAGAGAGAGACCAGAGAGTCCAGAAAGAGAACAGAGAGACCCCCGAGAGAGTTTACAGAGAGACCAGAGAGTCCAGAAAAAGAATAGAGAGAGAGTCCAGAGAGAGACCATAAAGAGACCAGAGAGAGACCAGAGAGTCCAGTGAAAAACCAGAGAGAGTTTTATTGGTCATCCCACTCCCTATGAACCAATACCTTCTGTGTTTGTTAGCATTTGTTAGCATGTGTTAGCATGTGTTTGCATTTGTTAGCATCGGTTAGTTTGAGTTTGAGTTTGAGTTTATTTATTTAAGTGTCATGCACAAAAGTGCCCAGCCCACATGGGCTTATATGACACTGAACAACAACATAGTTGTATTGTCCTTCACCCAAGGCTATAAAACACATTTGTTTTGTGCATTCCCACGGTGTATGTTTGAGCATGTTGCATTGGGAGATGTCATTCCCAACACTGGCAGAATGTGTGCTCTGTTTTTTTGATAGATAGTCTGTCATTAGGAGAAATGTGGGTGTCCAAAATATGTTTTCTAGACTATGGGAACAGCAGGTTGTACCAACTGGAATGTTGGTACAAAGAATGTGTATTGTCATGAGAAAGTTAGGTACTCCAGCTTTAACGGCAAAGATAAAGAGAGGAGGGTCAGAGATGGATGGAGTGATAGTAGTGTTGTCGTGGAGGGCAAAGTCAGAAAGTAGGCGAGGGGCAAACAGACGCCTGGGGCTGACGAGGAAACTAGGACATGAAGGAACTGCAGAGGACGAGGAAGAGGAGAGAGGGCAGAGGGGAGAGAGGAGAGAGGGCATGGGGGAGAGAGGAGAGAGGGCAGGGGGGAGAGGGGAGAGAAGGCAAGGGGCAGAGAGGAGAGAAGGCAGGGGGGAGAGAGGAGAGAGGGCAGGGGGGAGAGGGGAGAGAGGGCAGGGGGGAGAGGGGAGAGAAGGCAGAGAGGAGAGAAGGCATGGGGCAGAGAGGAGAGAAGGCATGGGGGAGAGGGGAGAGAGGAGAGAGGGGAGAGGGGAGAGGCCAGAGGGGAGAGGCCAGAGGGGAGAAGAGAGAGGAGAGAGAGACACAGAGACAGTTGTCAGTTTTCTGGCCCGTACTGTTCTCTACACCTCTCCATAGACACAGGGACAGCTCTGCCACTGGACACACAGCTGCGTAATGTTACGTGTGTATGTGCGCAGTCAACGCTTACGTGCTGTGAATGCCTACTGCGTAAAGTCACAGTAACAGCAGCAGCAGCAGCAGCAGCAGCAGCAGCAGCAGTAGCAGCAGTAGGGAGGATGTTTGTCATTGAGGATTTTCGTCTCGCTTCGTCATCACTGAAGAAGGGCCCAGTTACTCGAGTCCGGTCTCATCAGGTCCACACTGTGACTGAGACTGACTGTGATTCCAGTCTCCCTGTAGACCTCAGTGTGACCTCGGAGAGACTCTAGACCTCAGTTTCTCACCGATTCTGACTTTATTTATATTCTTTTTGACCTAAATGAACCAAACTAAACTAATCAGACTGTGTTTAGGCACAGACTGTGTTTAGTCACTGCGTAACAACAAGTGTAGAGCAGCAGACGAAACCATTTTGTGTTGAATTGAATCATTGGATCAACCAGGCGACTCATAACTTGACTTGTAAAAAAATGTATGTACTGTATCTATACATATTGAAACATTTTCTGATACATTTGGTTGATAACGTTTGAGATTGTGATAAAATCCACAAAACATCCCAGTCTTAATTGGCAGAGGCTGAATACACATCAGCTCAAACAGGTCTGCAGGGGAGAGGTGGGATTGATGGAGCCATTTTGCTTTTCGCCCTTTCGCTTGCACACACACACATATAGACACACACACACAGACACACACACACACACACACACACAGATACACATAGACACACACACGCACGTGCACACACAGAGACAGACACACACAGGCACGTCTCCCCTGGATCTCTCCATCAGACGCACAAATGCCACCTGTTGCAGGAGACTCAGATGTGCAGTGCGGCAAAAGGCACAAACGCACACTGACGACACAAGACCTGCATCACTACACTTCTGCGGTGTGTTACCCATGGACAACACAACTGCACTGGTCTGAAGCCAGGGTTGAACCATGATTAGGTACATATGGATATACAGTATATATTTATCAGTCTATACAATACTCAGTGTTTGCCCCGTATTCCCCTGATAACATGTTATATTAAAGCTGGGATACACAACTTTCCAACAACAACACAACATAAGTGTGTAATAAAATCCATCTAAATAGTTCCTCACTGTCAAATGTATGTATTGTTGGCCAGCTTTAGATCAGATTTTTCAGACAGAAAAGGTGAAAAAGAGAGGACCTCACTCCCTCAGCCAATCAGCTCGCAGCCCAAAGAGTCCAACAGTGATTCCCAAGGCTCTTTCCACAAGTATGCAACAAATTAAAACATTTCTAAAAAGATAAAGACAGCATGTTGTGGTCTGGTTTGTTACATAATATGCATTCCAATAAACACATATATACCTCGTCGATGAAAAACCAAATCCTATCAAATGCGTCGAGGAATTTCAATGAAGTTTTAGAAAGTAAATTAATCTGTTACAGCTGAAGATATGGGACCAAATGCAGCTTTGGTTCATTCACTGAAAACTCAAAATGTAACCTTACAAAGTTGAAGATAGAGAGATAGAGAGATACAGTAGATCAGGGTTCTCCAAACTTTTTCAATCAGAGAGCTACATTTTATAAGATAGAAGAGGCAGAGAGCTACTCCTTTTGGAAGTCACAATAAAATTCTATATAATAACTACGGCAAAACATGGAGAACACAACTCTACAATGTACCATAAAACTCCACATTTACACTTAAAATAGATATATAAGATAAGATATAAGGTATAAGATATAAGAAATAAATATAGATAGATATAAAAGGTAGGCAGATAGATGGATAGACAAAGTTGAAAACTCACCAATATTGGGGTGTTTTAGGAGACGACAGATCCGCGCTTCTCTCTCCAGTTTCTGATGGTCTGTGAAAAGAAGAAATGAGGAGTTGTATTAAATTACACATGAAATGAAACGAACGGGGCCATCTGTAGCTGCGTTTGTGCGGCGACAAGCGAGAAAACTGTTAAATTAGGCTTTTTTTATGGAGTCGAACTGTTGAATGCGCCACAACAGCAGGTGCGAGTAACACCTCCGGATTTGTCGTTTTAATTTGCGTTGCCAGATGTCGTGCCATTTTATCTGCGGCAGCGAGAGCGGCGAGTGGCGGAGGAATTCACGAGAGGTTTCCAATTTTTGATTAAAACAGAGGGATATTGAGGCATGTGTAAGAGCAGCTGTTTGGGATCTAGGCAGGTCTCCCTCTCTCTCTCCCTCTCTTTGACGTGAAATATTGGAAAACGGTATTTTGTTTTAAACAGAGAACAAGAGACAGACAGATCAGAGGGAAAAGGTCAGCTCTATTCAATTCAATTTATTCTTTTATAGCCCTAAATTACAACAGCAGTTATCTCGGAAGGACTTTAAACAACCGTTGAATTTGCCAACGCAGATCATAGAATCAATCAGAAAACAGAAAACACATTGGTATTGGTCTATAAGGGCAGTTGTCCATAAGTATTGATAAAGGTGTCCTGGATCATAACCACTTTCCCTTTTAGATAGAATGACTTAATAAGAGATGGGTAGGTTTAGAAGCATAGATCTGGCCTTTATGGAGAAATGGTGAGAAGAATCAGAATCAGAATCCTTTTTATTGCCACGTAAGTAACAAGAAGAATACCATTATTGAAAAGCGGCCATAAGAAAATCTTGTTTGAAGTTTGCCAGAAGTCACATGGGGGACACAGCTAATGTGGAAGAAGGTGCTATGGTCAGGTGAGAATTTGTTTTAACTTTTTGGCCCAATCCCAAAACATTATACTGCTCATCATCCCCAGGGTCAAAGAAAGGTGGGGGGAGCATCATGCTATGGGGCTTCTTGAACATTCAGGACACAGGACACAGTATTACAGACAAGACATTATTATTATTCTCTGAACAGACGACCGCTCACATGAATGTTGAACTCCCAGGACGTCACTTACATTATTCAAATACAACAGACTAGAGTCACAACAATCAGACATGATAGAGGAACAGAAACCTCAGATAGAAACCACAAAAGTAAAACAGGTAATTATAAAATGTAATATCACAGTGCTTTTCTCTACTGTATGGATTCAATTGCGTGAGAATAATATCGCGATACTGAACACAATCAATTTTTTTTTTTTCTACTGTCTATAGACCTTGGGTTCATTCTATTCATAACATCTGATGACGAAGGTGTGGATCCGTCCCATCGCAGAAGTCCTGTTTCTCGTTCGGCTTTTGTCAAACGCTCCCAGGGGTAAAACCATGAGTCAGTCCATGTAGCGGTGTCCATGGCGATCGTGGAGTGCAGCCCTCTCCTTGGAGCCGTGACTTTGCCGAGCGGAGAGTTTGTGACTGCGACGCCTCGAACCGTTCTTAGAAATATAAATTAGATCCGCGAGCGAAGCAGAGAGAGGGAACGAGCGGAGAGTGGGAACGACGAGACTTTAGCGTGTTAGAGACGTCATAGTTCAGGGTTATGAAGATTGGTGAATTGTCGTGACGCTTATCCCCACTCATTCTCTCAATGTATTTGTGTACAGCATTAATCACAACAGCAGTTGTCTCGAGAATCAAACAGACAATCGTACACAGGAAATGCAAAGGTAATAAACAAAGAAGATCCATTTGGTCCAGAGCGGGATGACCACTGTCCAGCGGGCTGAGGGAAAACGGGCGGAGAGTGGGAATGACGAGAAGTTAGCGTTTTAGAGACGGTTGTTGAATGAAAACCCGGATTTTCCTTCATTAACCGCTAAACTAGGACTCCCAGGGCTGTCATTTTGACGGTTGCTGTGGTAACTAGCACTTGCTCTAAGGTGAGATTACTCTGAACCAGTCCTGGGTCGAGATAACTTCATAAACATTATTGCATTGAAATAAACTACACCTGAATACATATTAAGTAAAAGAGTTATTACACTTCCGAAACTTCCCAAATTGAAGCTCTGGGAGTTCAAGAGTTGATTCAAATCCATTCAATGTATTTGTGTTGAGTCCAAAATCACAACAGCAGTCGTCTCGGAGTCAATTAACCAACAACAGATCAGAGAATCAAATAGTTCAACACATAGAAGGCATTGGTCTAAAAAGTGAGAATATTCTTTTTTTTTTACCATTGTTCCTCATCCAAAACAGACCTGCACCTTCAACGCTGATACCGAAACTTCTGGTAGTTTGTCCCCCTGCCCCTTCTGTCTAAACTGCTCCTGTTTCAAACTGGGTACACTATGATGAATCCTTACACTGTTGCGTCATGTTCAGGCGTGTTTTCAACCTTAAAAGCAAAAGTTTTGACAGTTTCTCCAGTGGAAAAGCGCCCTCTACGTCTGTGACTCGCTGTAATTGCTTGATATTAATTTAAGACATTCTGGTGGAAATAGATGAAAAGGGTTGGGGTTCACGTTCTCAAACATGAAAATGCATGAAAAAGATCAAAGAGGAGAATATTGTAAAGCTACTGTATATTCAGAGTTAAGAAAGCTTGTGCATTTTTTTGGGTATGAAATTGGTTAATCAACAACAAAAACAAACAAATAATACACAAAAGAACTAACAAACAAAAGTATCTAGTCTGATCATGTTTAATAGCCAAAAATAACACACACTTTGTCTTCTTTAAATCCTTCTTAAGACTTAAATGACTTTGGAAATGTTCGACTTTATGTCTTGGTCCTTTTTCTGTACTGGTATTTCTTTTATGCACATTTATGCATTTCTAATCACCAACTTCGAGTCCTTTGAAGCCGACGCTGAGGCCTGTGATCCTTTGGGGTCTGTACAGTTGTATAGTTACTGTATTGAATGTCAGCCTGATGCTTGTCTCTCAGCGGTCAGAGTGAAGATGTGTTGAAACCTCGGTGTGAGTTACCGCCACTGGACATACAATAAGAGCCGAACCATGTCTAATTACATAAATTACGCAAAAAGCAGAAAGAGAGGGAGAGACAGAGAGAGAGAGAAAGACAGAGATATACAGAGAGAGAGAAAGAGGCAGATAGAGAGACAGAGACAGAGAGAGGGCGAGAGACAGAGATACACACAGAGAGATAGAGAAAGAGTCACACACACACAGAGAGAGACAGAGAGACACACACAGACAGAGAGAGACACACACAGAGAGATAGAGAAAGAGTCACACACACACACAGAGAGAGAGAGACACAGAGGGAGACAGAAAAAGATAGAAAAACAGAGAGATACAGAGAGAGAAAAAAAGGCAGATAGAGAGACAGAGACAGAGAGATACCCACAGAGAGATAGAGAAAAAGTCACACACACAGAGAGAGAGACAGAGAGACACACACAGAGAGAGAGAGACACACAGAGGGAGACAGAGAAAGAGTCACACACACACACACACAGAAAGAGAGAGACACACACAGAGAGACAGAGAAAGAGTTACACACACAGAGAGAGAGACAAAGAGTTACACACACAGAGAGACAAAGAGACACACACACAGAGAGAGAGACACACACAGAGGGAGACAGAAAAAAGACAGAAAGAGAGATACAGAGAGAAAAAGAGGCAGATAGAGACACAGACAGAGAGAGGGGTGAGAGGGAGAGAGACACACAGAAAGACAGAAAAAGAGTGACACACAGAGAGAGAAAGTCACACACACAGACAGAGAGATAGAGAGACACACACAGAGAGACAGAGAAAAAGTCACACACACACACACACACACACACACAGAGAGAGATAGAAAGAGAGTCACAGAGAAAGAAAGAGAGTACTACGATATGAGCCTGTCTCAATAATTACAATATGTTCTTAGTATAGTTGATAGCTGTGGAGTATTTGTGGTGCGATAATGAATAATTGACTTTTAAAGGAGCTCCCATATGTGGATAAAGACATAAAAAGGTTAATTAGGTAATGTGCTGCGGTTTGGCTGCGGAGGACGGGCCGTGGTCGTGTGCTGCACTGTTACTAATTCATTCCATCTCCTCATTGGCAGAAACCGAGAGGGCTGAGGGGAAGGCAACACCACTTCCTGCTGCGCTCTCATTGGCCAGCTGCTTACTCAGGGGGCGGGCCCAGAGTCACATTGGGTAAGTTGTGTTTGGAGGCATGAGGCTTGTTCTAAATTGTACTCTGCATTCTAGGAAGTCAATAGATGCTTCTTTATTATGCTAAAGCTAAACAATTTATACTTGCTTATTAATTATGATTTATTATTATACGCTTTATTATACATTTATTATACATTTTTACAGCCTGAATAGTTAGGTTGCATTGGACTGTTGTATAAAGTTTGCGATCACTTGAACTATTTCCTGTTAAGAAGAAGATTAAGCAGCAAAACAGGAAAAAAAATGTGAGTTGCCAGATAAAGACTGAACTCGCCTTGAAGCGTACACGTCTTTATCGACACGTTCTCGACGACTTCAAACGTGTTTTAAACTGGCCCTGAACTAAACGCAACGGAACAAGCAGAAAGAAGAGGCCAAAGTGGAGAGACTTTCCTCCACGGTTCTATTAGAGGAGAATTATCACAAAAACTCAAGAGGGACTTATGTACATTTTAATATTTGATGTGTCCCCAGAGAACTAGTAGCATGTATAAATCTTTTTCTGTGCAAAAGTTGAAAGTTTTGCACACACACATACAAACACAATCAATCAATCAATCCAACTTTATTTGTAAACTGTTTTTCCGACACAAAGTGCCTCTCTTCTAAGGCACAAATCATAAACATAATAATTACTGGTACTGCAGACACACACACACACACACACACACACATACACACACACACACAGACAGACACACACACGTACTATCTAGCCCATGTCCGCAATGTTATTGTGTGTTCTCTGTTTCTGTCTTATTGTATTTGGTTGAATGTCTGCATCTGAATTGTTCTTTTATTCTTAATTA